TGTTTATTCACTGGATCACCAAACGATGAAAAACCAGTGAAGGAACAAGTGTTCCTTTACTGGGTTTTTTTCTAAGTTAATGAAAATAAAAGATAAACTTTAATTTTCTTGTACCTTTAGTGATGTTCCGCATCAAAAGTATGTTAAAAATACGAAAAACAATTTCTATCCAGTGAAGGAACAGTCATATTCCTTTACTTGGCATAGATTTCCCAGTGAATGAACAGTATGTGTTAATATGTTGACATGTTTTCAATTCATGATTACAAAAAAAAAATTAACATTTTCTAAGTATTTATATGTCATAATTTCAAGAATAGGCTTGTTTTTAAATATTTGTATGGCTTATAAATTCATAAAGAGCATTAAAAAATAACCAAAATTAAGTGTTCCTTTACTGTGTGTTCCTTCACTGGTAAGAACTGTTCCTTCACTTGGTCTTCTTACTACTTGTTATTTGAACCTCCAAAACTTTAAAACAATATAATATAAGTTCTCTACAATTTTTTTTACATAATTTGCAATTAGTAACAAATATGTTGACACTGACATTTAACTAAAATTACGAATTTTGAAATTAATATGATTTGTTAAAAAGGCAAGCGAAGCTTAAGTGTTCCTTCACTGGTTAGTGTACCCTATAACCATGAAATCTGAGTTTTATTTCAAAAATATCTAAGACGAAATAGAAATTTCTTGTATAAAAAGAACTTCCATTTTGGCAGCTCAAGTTGTTGGAACTCAGCTCAGCGAGATAATAAATCGCCAAGAATGAATTCTCGTGAGTTCGACAACAGGTATGGCGCCGACACCCTGCTAGTTTAACAATGACCTAAACAAAGTTCCGGAACAGGTAAGGGGACGACGACTAGATGGGGAGGCCGATTACCCAGTGGGAGAAAAAAAATAACTTCCATAGGTGGTCCTTGACCGCGGGTTCCTGAAAAGACCCTAGAACAACATTTTTGTCATAGACACCTAGACGATAACATCATTTTTCTACCCAGTTAAATAAAGATTAAATGCCTCTTACTATCATTTAACAAAAGCTGAAAATTCCTTTAGATTGTAGTTAGAAATGTTTAGTGCTTTTTGGATATTACCTAGAAGTAAAAGGGTCATTCTATAGGTATCGGCTATTAAGTTAAAGAGTGTAAGAGGAGTGAGAGAAAAAGGGGGAAATATGTTATTCTTTTATCTTAGCTTCGGAGTTCATGCTTCTTGTTATTTTTGTAATGATTATTACAAACTTCTCACTAAATATTCCATCAATATTTTTTTCAATGAAATATATATACACTGAGCAAAAAGTATGGTCAAAACTATTTGATTATGGTAAAATTCAGCGCGCTTCTGGCTATATAGGGACCTCGAAAAGCTATGTAATTTTTACTGAAGCACTTTGATAATGACTTTGGTAAAATTAACAATAAAATATGCTTTTATAATATGGATGATAAAATTTGGTAATAGTGGTAAAATTCGGTAATTTTATCATGATACCTTGAACTATGCATGAAAACTATTTATATGGTTAAATTTTCTTTCCAGTTTTATATTTTACTTCTAAATTTGTGGTAATAAAAACTAATTTTAAAAACCAGAATTTCCGGAAAACCGTTATCATACAAACAGAAAAATTACCAAATGAATGATTTAAGTAACGTATATTTTGGTTTTATAAACAGAATTGCGATTGTTTTTTTGCCAGAAATGTCATTACTATACAGTGCGGTAATTTTACCAGAATTTTTTCTCCAAAACATGAAGTATAATACAACTATGGTTTTAAGACAAAATTATAAAAATATTTGTATTCTGTATTTATAAAAAAAATGTGAATTTCAACGTAAAAGTGTTTCAATTAATTTTTAAAATTGATTTTATAACTAAGTGAACTTTATTGCTGAGCATTGATTAAGTTAAATATAGATAAGTAATTCAAAAAGTTCTTCAATTACTTGAATTTTTTTTCTTCGAGTTCTTGATTTTATATTTCTTGAGTGCAATGTAAACAATTTTGACCTTAAAAATGCATATTAAAAAAAATATATAAACATGCAATTCAATTTTATTGTATAATAAAATAAAACACTTATGGAAGACCATAAGTGTTTTATTTTATTATACAATAAAAATTATCATTATCATGATTTGTGTGACGCTACCTTTGGGTGTTCGTGTGCCAAACGATATAGTAAAAAATATATTATTTCAGCTGCCCGACCAATCTAATCAAACAATAACAAAAAGTGTAAGAAGTGAAAATAGTATTCAGAGGACTTGAAGATTTTAAGATGACGCTTTCTTGAAAAATTCATAAAACTATGTTTTCTGTTTATCTATATAGATTCAAACATTTATATTTGCCGAAAGTACATATTTTCATGAAAGTATGTTTCCAGGATAAGGTCAAATTTTAAAAATTTTTGGAAGGAAAATAGTTTTATAATCAGAATAAAAAGTAATCAGTTATGGTGATAAGCAAAGATTCATGCACGTCTTTCATAAAATTTCATGAGATCAAAATTTTGTTTTGTGGAAACCGTATAAATATCTACAAAACTAAAAAATATCGGGTTTGTTAACGATGAGTCAAGTGGGAAAAAAAATTTATGGATAAAATTTTAAAGAATATAATACTATAGCATTATGTATGTATAAAGTTAGATTTATATCTAAAATATATATAGTATAATATAATAGATTTGATTGCGAAAAAATTTCGCCAGTAGTACACATATATGTTAGACTTACACATACATTTGGTTTTGACTGTTTGGGCAAAATATGACTTCTTTAAGAAATTTTAATTTATATTTCTGGACGTCTATGAGTATTTTTAAAAAATATGATGTCAATATTTTAATGTGAAGCTAGTTTAAAACTAAAAACGTAATCTGAATAATCATTTTAAAAAAATATTTTTAAAAAAATGGCGCTCACTTTTAGTTAAACAAGTTTCAAATGAAGTTCTCATTTAAGAAAATTATGAAACATTCACAAAGAATCCTGCATTATATTGACTATAAATATGCTCTTAACATAGCATTTGTATAAAGTAAACAAATCCTTCTTAAAAATTTTAGATATTTATTTCGTCACAGCTATGGGTATTGCTGGAAAATATAAAGCCTACTTTATAATCTGAAACAAATGGCAAAGGAATTCCTCCTTTTCAAAAATTCGCAAAGTGTCCTCCAATATGCTAATTATAAATATGCAAAAATTTATGAAAATTCGCAAAATAAACTCCATTGTGTTAACTATATATGCTCTTTACGTAGCATGGTTTGAACGAAACAAATGCTTCTTGAAAAATTTAGATTCTTGTTTCTTCATATCTGTGGGTATTTTTAGAAAATTTGACACTTTCTTTGTAATCTGAAATAAGTTTCAAATGAATTCTTCCTTTCCAAAAATTATAAAAAAATTATCAAAGTGTCTTCCAATATGTAAATGTAGGATAATGGCAGCTGCCATATATCCTACGTTGCAATAAGAGGAATAAATTTTTATTTATCGTTTGAAATATTTATCCCACATAAGCTCACTCTTTCTCTTTTGCTAAAGTTTAAAGAAGAAAGAAATGAGTTGCTATAAAATCACTGAGGTTATTACAATTCTCTTTTTTTGGATTCATTTAATCCGGGGAAAAAAATTGGAAAAGGTTTTTTTTTCCTTTTTCTAAATTCCAAATTTTGGCAAACTATTATTTTAAGTGCTTTTGTCCGAAAAATTTTCTCGCTTCTTTTTATTTATATAACTTTTCTTTACTTTTTGAATTGCTGTGAAAAAATAGTAAGACTCAGAAACTTGGAAATTTCATAGGGATGTATACAAAATTTTTGTTCGGTTACTTTTTCCTTTAGAGTTAGAAAGAAAACTTAGAAAAACACCCTCAACCGCAATGAATTTGAACAAACAGTTATCAAATTTTAAAAAATATACTGAACTACAAATTTATAGAAAAACGATGAATGAATTTAATAAAAAATCATATGGGTGATACATAATCAATGATATCATAGTCTTCTTCCTTTGGCCTTCTTAAATCTTCAGGTTTTGGTATGGGAGGAACAAGTCCCTCTTTATACTGGAAGTACTCTTGAAGTTTCTTTGGCGATCTGTTATCCCCTTTCGGGTGGGCATTATTCAGTACTGGTACTTCAACTTCCGGGCCCAAACCCCTGGATGGAAAAACTCCAGGATCAAAAGCTCTCCCTTTCACTGGTGGTGGTTGACAAAGTCTGTTTTGGCAATAATAATCTGTTCTCCCGTCGTTATGACACCAAGTACCTTCTGGAAAGAAGGTATCAATCCCCATGTCATTGAATTCTTGTCTAGGAGTGTACCAGGTACCTGTTTTCATCTTGCAGTACACAGCACATGATTGCCATTGCCGCTCTAATAATAACAAAAATTGTTAATAATTAATAAATTGAACTTGGAGATTAAATCAAAGAGGAGAGAAAACAATTTGTATTAAATTTGTTTTTATAACTTTTACAGTGATACATTGAGTCCAAAATTTCAAAAAGTTGGCACATTTAATCAGCAGGTTAGAATTAAAATTGAACTTAGATACATAAGGATTGATGAAAACTGAAGCTTATCATTTCCAACATTGTTATATTGAATTTGGTGTACAAGTTTCTTAAACAAAACTGATTTCAGCAAAGTTTCAAGTTAAGTAACTGAAAGAAATTTGAATTTTCTTATTAAAACCTTTGTAATTCATTGTATCGTGTTTGAAAACTAATGATAAAAGCTTTATTTGAATATCTTAAAAATTTAAAAGGTTTCGAGCAACTTTTTAAGTGGTTTTTGTATTTTTAAAAGAAAGCTCGAAACTATAAGGGGTTATCCGCAAATTTCATCTTGTACTATTAAACAAGATTTATTAAAAAGGAAACCGGCACTATGGAGGATCACCCTTAATAAAAGTATGCTTTATTTTACATGCCTTCTTTCTGTATACCATTTTATTTATTTTTTTCGATTATTTACGATTGTTGCAAGGTTATTTGTTATAAAATTTTGTCTTAAGATACAAAATAAAATTTGGGAAAATTCCTTGGTCGAATTGAGGTCCCTGGTAAAAAGTGCAAGAACTTCTTAGAAAATAGATTGAAACTTTTTAAATTTTTAAGATATTCAAATCTATTTTATTTTCTTAGTTGCCAAATACGATTCACTACAAAATTAGGAAAAACTTTTTAAATTTTTTTCAATACAGGTGCAGTATAAAAGAATTAGCTTAAATACTCATAACTTGAGCTGTTTTTAACGGTTTTTCTTTTAAATTTTAAATCGACAATTTTGTAATTAATTTTAAATTGCTCCAAATATTTTGTTCAATTTCATTGAATATCTATTAAGTTATAACAAAGAAACGTAAGGCGAAAAAAATAACTTTTTATAAAATGTCCATATCTCCATAAATATGCAGTTATTAAAAAAAAACTAAAATAATCGATACAAGTTAGAAACTTACTGCTTGATTTTTTGGCATAGGGTGTTCAAAAATACTTACTTTCTTTCATAATGTATTGTAGGACTCTCAAACCTTTGAAAGCTTTAAATTTTATTGCCACGTATGAAAAATCGCAAGAACTAAACAACTCTAAATTTACAAAATAATCTTTTAGGTACTTCTTGAAAAATTTTAAAGAATGTCAAAAACTGAAAGTGTCTCTTCTATTATTGTAGGGTATATATATGTATATATATATATATATANACTTTGGCTGCAGTTGTTTTCTTTTTAGACATTACAATCCGCTTCACTACCCGTCGGTCTCTTTCTCCTTTCGTCCACTATTTTGCTTTGCTGAGCTTGTCTTTCCACGCTGTGTGTATGCTGTCATGACTTTAGACACCGTACCTCTAGAAACGCCTAATAACTGGGATGTTTCGGTCACTGTTGCTCCAACTAGCCGGGCTCCTACAATTTGGCGACTCCGAAAATCTGTGAGGTCTGACATTTTACGCTTCTGACAGAAAATCAAAACGTAGACAACTCTGCTAAAGCTCTCTCATACCACCTAATATATTTACTTTTTATATTAAAAAAAACTGATATGTGAGATTATATTTTAATGCTTATGAAGCGAATTCTCAAATGTCGCTTTTATTCACAAGTGCTTCCATTATTTTGATAACCACCTGTATATATATATATCTTTTATGATACGATAAATGTTTTAAAAAGATAAAACACTAACTTATTTCTGTTTTAAAAAAATTTAAAGCACAACCCGTGAAGCGCGAAACAAAATTGAAAATGAAACGTTTGACATAAACTGTCTAAAATATAACTAATAAATATAATTTGTATATTCAAACCTTAAAGGCATTTTTAAATGACGCAATGCAATCATAAATTTTTGAGAGTGCAGGTTAATAACTTTACCTTCACAAAAAATTACTCATAATTGTTAGCTAATTACGGAAAATTTATTTCAAAAAATTTACTAAAAAAAGACTTACTTTCATTATATTTAACTTGAACACCCAGTGGAGTGACATCGGGAAGATGTTTTGAAAAAGCTTGACATCTTTGTTTTGCAAACTCCGCCGGAGCAATATATTTCTTGCAGATCTAAAGTCATGAAAACATTTTAGTACAATAATTAAGAAATATCACCTGTGATTTATGGCCCTGTAATAAGCATACATCGAAATATATACATTAAATCAGATCGAATGTGATAAGTTAAATACATTCTAGCACCAATTTTAGAGGGTCTAAGATTTCATAGAAAATAAAACACGCAAGCAACACAGGGCTAATTCTTTTTAGCCCTGCAAGCAACAGGCAGTTTCAGGCGTTCATGAATGTTAAAACTTTGCAAAATTCGTTATCAACGGTACGACGGTGTTTTCAGTTTTTCCAATCGACTTCCTTTACAGACAAGCTGATACCTATCAATCTGAATCTGAGCGACTTAACCTCCCAATAAACCTCCCAAGGGAATAAAACTTCGGTCCATTGTGTTGATATCTCTGTACCTGTGCTATTGCGTCTTTCAATTAAGATATCTGATTTTATGTATAAGTTAAGTGAAAAGTACCTTGCATTACACTTATTCAACAGTTATTTCCTCACAACTATAAGTATTTTTTGAAAAAATTGACTTTAACTTTTTATTCTGAAATAAGTTTCTAATAAATTCCGCATTACAAAAAATATATATATAAATTCGCAAGGTCTCCATTATGTTAAATATATATTCGCTTTTAACGTAGCATGGTTTGGACTAAACAAATGCATTTTTAAAATTTCCGATGATTATTTCTTCACAGATATAGATATTTTTGAAACAATTGGCCCCCACTTTTTAATCTGAAAAAAGTAACATAAAATCATCAGCACATCACATAAAATTCCCAATATGTTCTCCTTTATTTTAATATATATACTCTTAACGTAGTACTGTAGGGACTGAAAACTGCTTTTTAAAGGTTTTAAATACATATTTCTAGACAAAAAGGGATATTTTTGAAAAAATTTAATCTCAAAATTTAATCTTAAATAAGTTTAAATAGAATTCCTCATTTCAAAAAATTTTCAAAAATTCGCAAATTGTTCTTCATTATCTCAACTATATATGCACTATTACTTTTAAACTTTGTCGAACTTCTAATTTTTATATTTTTTAGAGCTAAAATAATGGAAAAAGAATTAATATGTAATAATAATATAAAGAATTTCGGTCAATCCTGGTCTTTTCATTATAGATAAACTAAATTATTCATCTCAGAAAAAAGAAAGCTAATAATTTATTAATTTTAAAATACGTATATATAATTATTGAAAACGAATCTTTCAACTGATTAAATCATCGTTGGGATTTTTTTACTTTCTCTGAAGCCATACTCATAAATAATTTCCAAATACTATTATAATAAGAATTTATAGTTTTACCTTTTAGTTGCTGCTCGGAATTATTATTAGAGTCGCCACAAAAGGAAGTTAATTATAAATTTCTTAATAATTATTTACAGCATCTTAAAATGGCAACGCTATACTTTGATAAACAGTGAATATAAATAGTAACAGTTCAAGAGCTGGAAACTAATAAATGCCTTAACAACAGTAACACAACAAAGGAAAAAAATTTAGGGAGGGGGAAAGAAGAATCAGATTAAGGTTGAAGAAAAACAAAAAACGCAAGAGAAGAAAAGAATAGCGAAACAAATTATTCTTTTAAAATCCTTATTTTAAAGTAAAGTAAACATTAATAAAAATGTAAATAATAATAATAATGAATTACTTACTTTTGAGTCATCACAAAAATGAATTCTCAAATTTTCACCTTCACATAACTTTTCTGTATTTCGGGGTCTACAATTTAAAAGAGAAAAAAAAGTATTAGTATGATTATTTTGAAGGAAAAATTGCATTGAAATTCTTATATAAATTGATGAATTAAAAATCGTGATTGATGAAAAATAATCGTGAAAAAATCGTGACAATAAATAACATATAGTTTTATCAATAAACAATTTTATAAATATTAAATGAATTTTTTAAAAAAATTCGTTTTTTTAATTCCTGTTTGTAATCTATGTTGTTAAACCCTGAGTTCAATCCATTACAATTGCTTTAAATCTATTTTGTTTTTCATAATTTGAGCAGTATAACAGAAAATGTAAAAATCTGATTTTCTGTTAACTTATCACAGAATCGGGAAAAACAATCCGAAAGGAATTATTCGATTATTTTAGTTCGGGCTTCAACGGTATTTCTGCATTTGGAGGAAGAAAAAAAAATGGGGAATTTTTCTTTTATACTATCTTAAGGGGGGACCCCACCCTGAGATGGTAAAATATTAAGGTTTTTCTTGAATTTTTTTTAAGTAATAGAGACAATGCAGAGACTCCTTGTTTTTTAATGTTATTTAGCTACAATTTAAGTCTATTTAAAAAAAAAATTCTTTTACAAAATAATAAAAAATAAGTAGGTGACAGCTCTGTGTGTGGCAGGTCATCAAAAAGTAGCACCTCACTGGCCTCATGGATTTAGAAGTCCTGAAGCATAGAAAAACGATTTTGCTTAGATTTTCTGAAACATAAAGACATTATCTAAAAAGAAGCATGGCGTTTTTTTGATATTCGCAAAATTACCAAAATGGCGGCAACTTAAAAAAATAGTTAAGCTTTTCATTAAAAAAGTATTCATTAAAATACTAATATAAAATCGAAATACAAAAATATAAAAATTATCCTATGCTACTTTCTAAAGAATATATTTTTACGTAATTCAAAATAAAGAACAGCTTGTTTCGTTGTATAGATCATGAGAAAAACGTTAGGCCAGGTCAAAAGACAGCGTTTTGAGAAGACCGTGTTTAAAGTTTTGACTTATGGTAGGGGAAAACGTTTAATTTCATATATATAATGATCGATAAATGAAATGCCTGCAATAAGTTTCTATATACAGTCAACAGAATGGATGAGACACAAAAAGAATGAGGCCCCTCCTAATCCGGCCGAACGGGCCTTTCTACTTTCTTAGCGACGACTCTCTATTTTCCTGTATAACTTCCAAATGAAGTTAGGTACCTAGAAATCGTTTTAGACAGACATTACAAAGGGTACAAAGATTCGAAAAATGCAATAAAATTTTTTTCGAATTTTTGAAATATTCAGGGTGGGGGTCCCCCCTTAATCCGGCAGTTACAGACTCAAATTGATTCGAATTATTTTAGTTTTTACTGTAACAGTAATATTGCATATCGGAAGAATAGGACGAAATCTTTTTCTCCAGCTGCTTGATCCGACAGTCATAAATACTATTTAATCTGAATTATTTTAGTTTGAGTTATAACGGTACTTCCGCACTTTGGAAAAATGAGAAAATTATCTTTTTCTCCAGTACTTTGATCCGACTGTCTTTAGCACTATTTGATTTATATTACTTTAGTTAGGATTATAACGGTATTTCAGCACATTGGAAAATAGGGAAGTAATTTGTTTTCTTGTTTCTTGACCCAGCAGACAGAGACACAAACTGAATAGAAATATTTTAATTTGGGATTGGTAATTATAGGCATTAAATAATGATAAAAACTAATAAAAGAATGAAGGTATTTGATAATTACTTTATTAAATATTTGATTTTAGAAATCATTAAATATGAATAGCATGTAATGCGTATAATTAAATGCGTTTATTTGAAATTATTGACTACTAATTATAATTTTTAAATACTAAAATAACAAGGAAAAAAACTTTAAAACCACGATTTTGAAAGTAAGTACGTTTACTTAATTTATGATGGATCACTTAGAAATATTTCTACCCAAAGTCGAAGCTTTTTTTTTTTTTTAAATTATTGTACTATACTGATAATAACAATAAAAAAAATGGGGGGAAAGACCGAACTTTTTGAGTGGGTAGGGCATGATTATTCTTCTCTATTAAATAGAGAATAATTGATTAGTTTATCACCACAATTTTCTCGTTTCATAAGCAAAACACCTTTAATGAACTTAAATGTTTAAACATCGTATGTATTTAATCGGCATCATAACATACACGTCCTGTTTATTACAATGCACAGGGAAGTCATATTAAAGGTGTTTAAAGACAGACAGCATAAAAACTACAATTCCAAACTCAGGAGTCGTAGTGGCTCAGGGGATAGAGCGTTCGCCGTGAAATGGGATGAACCGGTTTCGAATCCCAGTGATGGTTGGGTTGATAGGAAGTCCGCACGCGGCTAGTACCGATCACAGTGGAGACTTAAAATATCCTCAATGGTAGATAGATCATTGAGCTAACCGTGGGAAGTTTTCGTGGTTTTCCCCTCCATGCGCGGGTCAGTTAAATGAGAAAGTCCTTCACGACAGAAAATTTCTACCAACACTTGATCCAAGAGTTCCCTGGTCTTCTGGATTGATTTCACAATTACAAAGCTACGGTAGTCGTAACCTTGATAGTGGTAAACTTAAAATTTGGCTGTTCAACGACGGATATAAAATGAAATAAAATTCACCAAAATCAACTTATGCAGTATTTGCTATTCAGACCTTTCGAAATTGTGATGCAAAACCATTTTTTCTTAAGATCGGCATTACAAGTCTAGTAAAAAAACATTTTTATGTATTTTAGCATTGACACTGCTGTAAAAAAAAAAAAAAAAAAAAAAACTTATTAGAATGATATCTATTGCAAATGTGGTAAAGTTTGGCTCCACAGTTTTCTCACTTTTTGTATTTAAACAACTGGGATTAAATTATTTCAAAAGTGTATTTTTAGGTTTAGCTCTTTAATAAAAATTGCTAAGAAATAAACTGCATTTTACCATCAATTTAAAAAGAGAATTTTAATTAAAATATTAATTAATCATAAAGTAAGGTTACTAACTTAGGATTATTGCAGTATCGTTTGTCTGTCGTGTGAGCTCTGGATTTCTCTAAGCATCCACTTTGACATTTTCCCTTACTCCAGTCTGACCATCCACCTTTGACTACTTTAAACTTCTGCGATCCCCACGAAATACATTCACCATTTTTGCACCACTGAAATAAAGAAGTGCGTTTATTTAATACAAATTTCTACAACAGAATTATGACATGAAAGGATTTTTTAAGAAGTAGTGAGTGTTCCGTACATCTAACCTAATATTTACTTTTGGAATCTTTTTTTAATAGAGTCATATGTGTGAATCTACGCATTAATAAAATAAAATTAATGAATAAGTGTAAAAGAATCATTATCAAAATCTGGCGAATCAATATCGAGGTCATAAAAATCCATGCATAATTTAATAGTTAAATATAAAATCCTAAAGTTAGCGTGATATATTTTTTCAGTTTCATCATTTTAAATATACGAAATTATTATGTGTTAAGTGGCCTTACAAATTGGAGATTTAAAATAGAAGGTAAATAATTACAACAAAAAAATTAGTTAAGACTTCATACACAAATCTGATATCTTCATAAAATAATTAAAATTCGTCTCCTTTTTTTTAATGTCTACTCATATTTTTTTAAATATTATTAATACTTTTGTTCTCGTTGCTATCACATTGTGAAAGAGACAATTAAAAAGTAGGAAATTTTTTTTGACAAAAAATAATTTCTGCTTAAAAATGTAAAACATACTTTTTTTCCTCCACAAAACGTTCCTTCTAAAGCTGGACCAGCTGCGTAATATCCTATTCTTGAAGGAGTCTTGCATAAGGTCTCCTGGCACACCATCTATGTAAGTATATCAATATGCAAAGACGCAAATTTATGCATTATAGTTACACATACAGAGTGCAATAATATTAATAATTACATTTTGACACTATTGAAACATAATACGAAATGCAAATAACAACTTAATTGTTTCAGGGGACCAGCACAAATTTGTGGAAAGTCTAAGTAGATGAAATCAAGTAAGAACTGGTGATGAGTTTAAGGTAGAGTACGGTACTAAATGTGACTATTGGTCTTAGGGAGTGATCTAATAATAATAATGTAAATAATTATCATTAGATATTACATGTTAGATATAATATAATTTGGATTGCATAGCAATTTAATGTGTCTCAAAGTAGTTTCTACCAGCCGTAACGTACTTTCGAAAAATTTTAAGAAACTACTTTCAAAGTCCTCCTGTGGTTAAACATTTTGCTTCTGCGATAGAGAGATGAATCATTCATCTTACTCCTTAGACAAATGAATGATTCATCTCCTCCTCTCCGAAACCAAAAAATTCACTTAAATACAAGGTTTAAGGAAGTCGAAGACATTAAAAGTGTCAGAATTGAGGAACATTCCGTAAGAGGACTTGGAATTTTATGAAGAATTTATTACAGCCAAGTATCGAAAGGCATTGTGGTAGATGATATTTCGAAGCCTATTATAATCTTTGTAAATAAAATAGGAGTCTCAAGGTTACGCGCCTTCCCTGCTCTCCATACTTTTCCCCTCAATGTTACCAGGGAATCAGAAATTCTTGCTTTTTCCCCACTCTATTATATTCCAAATTCTAACTGAAACGTACTGGCCGAATTTGAAGAAATCATGAGCACAAAAAGTTGAAAAGTGTAGACTGGGAGGTATGCACGCAACTTGAGTATAAATGGGTATGGGTTTTATATATTTATTGAGCTGTTGCGTCAGTCCTGAAAATTAATAACCACATCTCGGATCTCATATGCGATTATTTATTTTATCTGCCTCTTTCATTTTAAAAATTCATAATTTTTTAGATGCTGCCACCTCCGTTATGTAATACTTTGTTGAAATAATCATTGCGTTTCATCTACACTTCAAAAATTGTGATGGCAGGTCTTCGGATCATTCTCAGGGATGTTTCCCAGACCATCGCCAATAGCCCATTGTGCAGCTCTAGTGCGACGTAAATGAACTACAACAATCATCTACACTTCAATGGAAACAGATTAAAAACGAAAAGGTTTCACCCTCCCAGTGTTAAATTTGACAATTTTTTTAGACATGAATTATGCCGCTATTATTAAACTATTTCTTAAAATATATAACACTAAAATAAATAAAACTTAAAAATATCAAATTGCATTCTTTTATTTTATGATTACATATAAAATTTTATGAATAAGTATTTATTATTATAAATAAATATGCATTTTTAGCAGAAGTAATAATAATTGGAGGAAAAAATATCATCATTGAATCATTGCTGCTTTCAAGAATGGGTACAGTTTCTTCCAATTCATATATCCCGGAATTTGAAGGGTTGCCGAAATCCATGCCGCACATATCTGTGGACAAATAGGGCAGTTGTCACCAACTGTTTATGTTTATTAAAAAATTCAATAAAAGCCTGTTCTTGACTTCAAATTAAATGAAATTCTTGATTTCAAATTAAATTTTTAAAAAAAAAAACATTTTTAAATCTCTTAAGCAACTATTGCATGCCAGCTACGATTTAAATTATAAAAATCTCGGAAATTAGTTTTATTATTCTTAATCTGCATAAATGTATTTCAATGTATAATCAATGAAATTTTTTATTTGCGAAATAACTCTCCTTAGTTTTCGTGCTGCCATCTAGTTTACTCTGGAAGAAGCAGACATAGGAGTCAACAAATTAAAATGTTGGTTCCTGTACCTGCTTTTCACGTGCGAAAATGTGAAATTAAATTAAAATATGAATTTGTTTTGAAGAGTTTTGAAAAATCTAATGTGAGAAAATGGTGAGATTTATGAACACATCGCTGTTACAGGCGAATTTGTTAGGGGCTTCTATGATCTTGAAAATTAGGATATTAATGGATTAGGATTTTAATATCTTCGATATTAAACGTACTCAATATTCTTCTCGTACAACTATGCCAATGCTCTCCAAAGAAATGAGAATACATTTTTCTCTTCACAGCATAACATTCTAGCCACGATTCAATTTTAAAACATTAGCTTTATGCTAATGCATAATCTAAACCTCTTTATTTAATGGTTTAAAATACAAATTATTCTTATCTTGGAAATTAGGATTTTTATAACAATTTGAAAATAGTTTTTATCATAAAAATCAGCATTGTAAATAATTTGCGAAAAAATCTTAGCATTTTGATAAACTCTATTTTTCAGATAATAGTGCTTTTCGATGGTCTTTGAAATTTTTTAAAAAAAGAGCATTTTAAGTGTCTTACACTTGATAGAAAACCATAAATTTAAACTATAAAAACCTTTTCGTCGTAAAATCCTATCAAGGCAAATTTGGAATGGACATATATTTTCAAAACTATTAAACTGTTTCAAAAATTTTCAATTTTTAATGAGATAAAAATCATAAAAATAAATTAAAAATTCTTAATTTTTGAGAATTTTAATATAAATGAAGCATTTGAGTAACTTCTTAAACTTTTAAAAATTAAATCACAAACGGTTTTTTATTTTTAAAGGACTATTTCTTCAAATTGACGTTAGCGCCCTTTTCTGACAACGCACTGGCTAAATATGAATTAAACTTAACCTAAAAGCCACGAACCACTGTAGCAAACTCGCAGGAATTATAAAATTTGCAAATTATAAATTTTAAAAAATTATAATAAAAAAAAGCCATTTTATATCATGCGGCCACAGAGACTTCGAAACGCAATCTAAAGATAAAAATCATCACTATAAATATGCGGTATTTGCTGCCAGATAATAATTAATTCATTTCAAATCCAATATCATCAAATAAAATCTAGAAATTGTAAAGATCTAGTAATTTTTGTAGCAGCAATAGAAAGGTAATAAATTTTTACGTACCGATACAACTGTATCATTGTACAATGTGGCGTCATCATCACGCAGGAAAATTTTGCATTGATCATGAGCGTCCCAAGTTTGTCCAGGTATCTCATCATATTTCGAATGATCTGTTCCTTTTGTTGATTTCATTTGAGGAGCATCAAATAGACATTTCTTGCTGTAGGGATTTAAAAAAAATAATTTAAGCTTCTATTCAACTCGACATTTCACCAGCTGTAAGAATATGCACCTGATATTACTGGAAGTGGCTTAAATAACCTATAATATAAAATATCTAACTAAAAATGAAAGAAAGAAAGTAGATAAAAATGTGAAAGTCTCATCATTTTCAAAATTATTTACTAAGGTCAGCGACAGATGGCACTGTTAAATAAAATAATCATAAAACATAGTTGGCTGTGCATGCAAGATCATTCCAAGTGAATATTTGCACTGGCCGCTGTTAATTTTGTTTTCGGATTGTTCCTTGTTACTGAAAATATTGATTGTTTTGAAAAGAATGCTTTTTAGTTTTAGTTTTTCTCAGCATGCATCACCGACTGTCGAATTAATTGCGAAACTCGGTAGGAAGACCTCTTGCTTCCCTAAGCGGAATGCAACAAGCCTGTATGTTTCAATTTTCTTCTGTTTTTTTTTCATTGATTTTTAAAATTTTCCCTCATTTTTTGACACTCGGCACGACACGGAATTCTTTATTTGTTTTAATAAATGATAATAAGACGGATGTATCACTCTGTTTCGCGCAATTGCCTATAAACATTGAGTTTTGACATAATCGACCTCATGAGTGCATGTTTTTTTGTTTACAAAATTTTGGAATGCCTTAAAAAAGATAAATTCTAGAAATTTAAACTTGCTTACTCTGTTTTTTCAAGAACTTGAGAACTGCAACTGGACCATGTTGTTTCACCCTTTGTTCCTCTACTTGGAGACATCACGTGACCATTAGAAGGACATTTATTATTTGGAGCGCCATCATGGTACATTCCTAGACTGGAATTGAAACATTAATGTTAGCCAAACCAGTCTAAGCCTAACTAGATACTCGTTTTAAAAAATTTGATGACTATTAATAACATATGTTTACTCTTTTGTTTACTTATTTATTATTATTACTATTATTACTACCATTATTATTATCACTATTATTATTATTAATATTATTTTTACTACTATTATTATTATTACTATTATTATTATATTTATACAGAAAAATTCGATTTCACTTCAATTAACACAGTACAAAGAGCATAAATATGGCGTTTTATTTCATTAGAAGTTCTCTGCCAACTTGTAAATACAAAATGAAAAATTTAACATAACTTCAGTATTGAAAACTTTCTTACTACCCATACATCGTTACGAAATATACGTATGATATGAAAGATTCGAAAGAAGGATTAGGGTTAGTCCAAAACTAGGAAACTGTGGAAGTTACTTTGTAGATTTACTTTGTGTTTAATCATATTTTTCAGATTTCCTCCTGCATATTATTATTAATGCTGAGAAGCTATTTAAGAAACCGATCCAATTTCTATGATGAAGATTTGATAATGATTTAAAAACCAATGTACCACATTGTTTTAAGAAATAGTTTTTTCGCCTGTCACAGAGTGCTAACTATGATACTATATTATAGAGACGATTTTTATTTTGGAAATTTTTCTCTAAATTTGAAAACAAGAAAGCAGTCTAATATTTAAAAATTGAAAATCACATCAATACATCCCAGTTAAATGAAGCAATTTTAGCGAATGCGCAAATTAATTAGAATAACATACCATTAAATTAGCCACTTTCAATCAATCACATCGAACATACTAAATAAAAATCATAATGACATTTAATTTCCTATTTAGTAAGATGATAAGTACATACTTATGTCCTATCTCATGAGCAGCTACATATGTAGACAAGAGACCAGCGGAGGGATAGGGACGTCCATCATCACTTGTTACTCCGAATTCCACTATGACGCAAGAATGCTTCTTCATACATACTCCTCCCACTGGTGCCAAACCTGATTAAGACAGTTAAATAAAATGCAAATGACCGTCATAAAATGTACTTTGACGAAAAAGTGAGTTATAGTTAGTTCTCAAATTATTTAGTATTGGCTACGATTTAAGTTATTCATATTATGATCGAGAAATTCAACCTTCTGCGACGGAGTGCCACACTGATAAGTTTGGGAAATCTCAATTTGTTAAATAATTTAAAATCTATTAAATTTAAAATAAAATTTAAAATAAGTCAGCAAAATGTATTATATTCGTTGTAAATTAGTAGTTTTTAGAAGTTACGTGATTTCCCCACTCCCAACACTTCCCCCTCTTCGTTGTCATGGTTTCGGAAAAATCTTGCTTTTTCCTCAAGCCAGTGTATTCTAACTTCTAGCCGGAATAAAATAGTATGATTTATTGAAACCATGGTAATGTAGAGGGGACAAGTGTGGTGAGTGGGGAGATCGAGTAACCGTGAGAAGCCCATTCTACTTAGAAATATACTTTGTAAATTTTGTATTGTTATCGAATTTTTTGTAAGGAAAAAAATCAGAGCAAAACCAATTTGTTTCATAATTTTTTTGTCATTCTCTGAAATAGTCAAAATATGATTGAGCTCTGGTAATAAACATACCTACATTATTTCAGTGAAAAGAACGTTACAAAAGAGAAAAAATATCATTCAGATTTAACGTTAAGTCTGACAAAGCTTTTTCAGGAATATCATAGAAATGTTTATAGTCTTAGTTTGCTAAATATCCTCTAAAAATGCTGAATGCGTAATAAATCTCTATGCAGACTATCTTGTCATCTCTTTTGTAACCATTAGCTAATAATTTTGCACTTCCAGTTATCATAACTTCATTCCACCACATTTTCCATTGTCTTATCGAATTATTGTTTTAAACCGAAAATTCAGAGGGACACTAAAATGTGATGTCGATTATTTTCGACCAGTCGAGAGTGAAAGTCGAGAGCTGATCGCGAATTAAAAACTCATAAAATAAAACATAATAATCATCAAAAGTGAAAAAAATGACTGAACTTTTCAAAATCTGATAAATTAAAAGATTTCTTACCCATTGTTATGCCATTCTTCTTCCCTTTTTCCATTGAGAAAAAATTTAACCTTTAAACAAAATCAAATTATATTAATCAGTTATTAAATACACAACATAAGCACAACATAAAAACTTTCGTAATATTAATCATTTAATTTCCTAGTTTGAGTTGAGTAATTAACTCAAAGCTTTTAATTAGTGAACATCATTTCACTAAGTTGTACTTAAATAGCTTTCAAGTTTGTGAATAGGGAGTCTTGGACTGAAATTTAAATCACTTTCTGACTGGGTGGAGCTCTCAAATCTTCATTGGAGTTGAAAAATGATAAAAATGCAAATTACAATCATTTCCAGAATTTATCGTCATTTTTTTTACCAAAATGACAGTCATTGTGAATCAAAATTCTGACCAAATTCCGACAGGCAAGAGTTCTCAAATCTTTACTGCAGCTCCGTTCTGATGACAATACGAGCTTCAGTCATTTTATAACTACTATAAACAAATTCTCTTTCCATATTATCCCTAAATGCAATTTATCGGCAAGCATTTTGATCGCTTTCCAACTAGCTAGAATAAATACTCAAACTTTAACTGAAGCTGGGCTGACAAAACGCACGTGAGTTGTTTTTTGACCTTTACATGAAGAATTTATATTGACAAAAAAATTTTTTTTTCAAATATTGTCCACTTTCCAGCATAAAGAAATAAGTTAATAATTAATTAAAACAAGAAAATAATACAATATTTGAAAATTGCGTTTTTGCAAGCAGGATTAAAAAAAAAAAAAAAGAGAAAATTATTCTTGCTAAACGGAAATCGGAAAACTTATTGCTCACCGCCACCCTCACATCTATCAAAAGTGATGCGCCCCAACACTTTTCGTTTTAGATTTGACAAAAATGCCTTTTTTGTCTACTAAAAGAAATTTTTTTTGAATGTTTATTTTATTGTTATTAGGCAATTTAGTGTCTAATAACAACGGATAAAACATTAATTTTTTTTTTTCAAATTTTCAAGCAAATATGTGGGTTTTTTTTTCAAGACTTAAGATTTATCGTTATAAAAAGGCATCAATGTTAATGCATAATAAAATAATTCATGCTTACCCAGATACATAAAGAGCTAAGTCCCAATGATTTGGATCATTATCGGAATCTGGATTCTTTTTAGCTTGATAATTACAAAAGGAATCTAGTAACTGATCTCTCTCTCCATCTTTATGCGGAAGATCACTCTAAAATTAAAGAAAAAAGGCATGTTTATAAAAAATAAATAAACTTTAAAAAAAATGACGTAACAATTTTAAAATACTCACTGGTTGTTTCTTCATAACATCCAATCGAACTAAACTGATCTGAAGCTTTTTGCGTAAAGAAGGTTGCTGATAAAGAGCTTGCATCTATAGAATAAAATATCATTTTATCGATTNTTAACTTTTCATCCTTTTCGTGCAAAAAAAAAAATAAGTAAAGTACTTATGAAAAATTACAATATTCAGAAAAACTGTTTTTTTTTTATGTATTAAAAAAACTATATCTAATATGAAGAAATAAAATTTGTTGTTGTTGCTGTTACTTAGCTCCCATAGACTCCGTCAGACCAGAGCTAAGAAACCATTGCATTCAAAGAAACATATGCAAGAAGAAGAGATGAATGAATTTCCTCCCAAATGAGTTCTAGTCTAATATGTGTTCAGGCGAAGCCTGTTGTTGCCTGTACGCTCGGGGCAAAACTCCTCAGAAAAACGTAAACTCTTGAGATGGTCGCTGGCGAGGTGCGAAATTTACCAATATATGAAAGGGTCAAGGCTAGGCCTGACCTACTGCACCGATACCAATCGTGAGTTGGAGGTATCAACCAATCCTTCTTAATTTGAGATTGTTTCTTTGAGAAAAGTTCAAGATACGTTAACTCTGGAGAAAAAGCAATGGAGGGAGCTCTTGCAAGACTATTTGCCAAGAGAATTTCCATATAAATTCACTCAGGAACTAAAGTTTATGATACATGTGACCAATTAATGATACAATACGCTTACAATAGATTAAGACAATCGTATTCCTTATTATTTAAAAATGTGCTCTGACTTTTACATTAATTTTTTTTTATGACGAATGTTAATTTACATTCACACCTTACCTGATTAACATATCCCAGAAGTAAATCTACTAGATTTTCATCAGATTTAGCATGCGATTGAAAAAGTTGGTATCCCTTTTCGTCAAAGAACAGAGCAAGTTCCAGGTGTAAATCTTTATCTTTAGCGTATTCTGTTTGCCGTTTTGATTCCTTATTTGGCTTCTCATCATTATCAATTTCATTCGAAATTGGACCAAGATCCTCAAAATCTAAATATTTGACAATGTCATCATCATCGACTTCATACTCAGAACGAGGTGAGGAAGGTACGTAATGTTCATCATCCCATTCATCTATGAAGTTTTGAAAAATAATTAAACAAATGAAAACCAGTTTAACAAAACTTTTTAAAATGACTTAATAATTTTGCAAATAACTTAAATGGTAAAAATTTATCGTACTTATTACTTTAATTTTAGATCTGACAAAAATGACATTACTTTCCACATTGATTTCGAAAATAGCATCTGCTATATTTCTAATTGCACAGAGTCCCTATTAATCTCTCCAAATCAAATAAGTAAATAAATAAAGATAAAAAATTGAGGAAAAGTGGAATAGCAACATTCTTACAGCTGTAACATTTTTACAATTGCAACATTTTTACATCCTTTTATGTGATATTTTTAGTTCAAAATAAATTAAAAATTTTAAAAATCTTCGATAGGCCAGCTTGTATAGTAGTTGAAAAAAATTTCTTTCTTGAGATTTAAGGCTTTTTTTAAGGTTTTGTCGTCTCATGAAACGGTGCTTTTCTGCAAATTATATTTAACACTGACTGTTTCGTGACTGAAAGGTCAAGTTTAGCTTATCTTTAGCCAGCACTTTCTCTGTTAATTCTGAAAATGGCACAAAACGTCATCATGAAGAAAAGTCACAGTCTTAGAAAAAAGAAAAGCTTTTGTTCTCAAATTTCTTAATATTAAAAGCAACTAACTCTAATGCTGCATTGTTTCGGCTCCTAGAAATTTGCAAAAAATGAGAATGAAGCATTAATTTTGATAGTTTTCATCGTGGTGGAAAAATGTCGCAAAATTGGCAAGAAAGTTTAATAACTTTTAAAATATTTAAATTATTTTGCCTGTTGTAAAGCCTAGATAATTCTTTACAACAAGATGGCATGTATATTTTAAAATTATAGTTTCGCCTTAAGTGGAAGACACTTAAACTATGGATTTTTATTTTCCTTGGCGAAAGAGCTTCGAAACACCATGCTAAGTTCGTTATCGAAGAGTATTATTTTCAGCCAAATGCGACTGAGACATGATATCGCATATTAATAACCATTTCTTCAATTCTATATAACAATTAGAGTTGAATTTACTTATTTAATATTCTTATTATTACCTCTACACTATCCCACACGGAGAATATTATTTTTAGAATTTGCTAACATTTTTATTTTTTGAAATAACACTATCGTATTTTTGAGATTTACAAATTTGGCCTAACCCTGATTATTTACACCGTTCACATCAGAATAATTGCTATGTTCTAATCTTAATTATGGACTGGCTGTTCGATTAAATTTTAACCGGTACTTTTATTATCTAAACTAACTTAATTTTATGTTATTTTCATAATAATTATTGTAATATATTCAATTGTATTATTTTACTATTAATTATTGTCGAAATTGTCAAATAATCCCCAAAGTAGCTGTTTTTTATCTACTTCTTTATTTGACTACTAAGTTAGCGAGCCCAGCAAGTCATGTGCCAAATCAAGGAATTATGATTGATTATCTATATCTAGGCCTATTTGACATCAATTTTCGACAATGATTACAAGAAATCACAAAATTAACGTACAATTATGATGATTGAAATAAATGAAAAAGTTGATTCAACTGCTCATGAACAGCCACTCCATAATAGAAAAGCGGCGTATGATAGTATTTATGGTCAGAGTTTGTTATTTAATTCTCATTCCTTGGGATTCCTCATTACTTGCCTCACCTCCAAATTTATAAACATTGTACTGAATTACCCTGTATAGTAATTGCTGAAAAACGTGGCATGTTTAGAAGTAAAATTGCTCACATCTAAAGTGCCTTACAATATTTTTAACAGAAATGGCTCCAGAGCGAGGAAACAACACCACAAAATAATTAGGTTTATAAAACATACCATCTGGAACTGACAATCTCTTTTGTTTTGGAGGTTTGAAAACGAGATGTAAAACACCGTCATCAACTTCAGAATGAGAGCGCTTTTCAGGAACTGAATCGAATCCAATAATTTCCTGTAGGTCCGCATCAACCGGCTGTAACTGCAAACTTCCACTTGGTATCAATATCATGCCCGACTAAAAAGTAGTTTTTAATAGTTAGCTATATAAACTGCAAATAACAAGAATTAATTTAAGAAGAAACAAAAAAAAATTGTGATTCTGCTAATTGGAGGAATAAGCAATGTTTCATTGTTATGGAATATGAAGAGCCTAATTTTCATACGCTGCTTTGATCATTATTCTTATATAGGACATTCAAAAGTAGACTAACAGTTTTAAAACAAAATTTAAAGCAGGAAAATAATCAAAGTGGACAAAACAATTCATGCAACAGATTCATGTAACAAAACATACAATTTATTAGCAAAGTTTCTGTATAAAGTTTAATAAATTTCCGTCAGATGGAGTCTCTAAATGGATCTTTCCTTCTATTGTTCCTTCCGTTGCATTTGCTTATTTCTTCAAATTAAGGGAGCGAATGGGAAGCAAGAAGCATGCGAGAGGTGTATTTTCAAGCGTTTGCATAAGTGTGCGCACATCACATCAACGCAACCTAATGCAAAGATATTGTATTTCACCTCCAGTCTGCCTCTTGCTTCCAACCCGAATCCTAGGTGTCTTAGACTGACTGTCTTATAAAAATTTATATCAGGAAAGCGATGTGATTAAGGTTTAAAATAAAATTCGTGCAGAAATTTCATGTGACAAGGTTATACCCAGAGCTTTTGGTTTAGTTCAAAAATATTCTGGCAGGTGGCGCTAAATTTACCGTATGTTCTTCACTTGCTTATTTACTTGCTTGCTTCACTTGCTTATTTACTACGTATAGTCATAGAATATAAAATACGTTGAATAAAAGAATAAAGTTAATAATACTTATTTTTTGTTTAGATGGCTAAAAATTTTATTTACTATTATGATTATTTACTATAGTTATTTTAATTTATTAATTAGCGATAATGTCTCAATGCCCATTTATGGGATGTCCAAAAACGACTGATGATTTCAAAATCAGATTTCAAGAAATTGAAAGGCGATAAAAATGCACGTTAATTGAATTCTGCACTCAAAACAAAATACTGTCAGTGTAACTTAAGCCCCACTGCTATATAATCTCAGCTAAAAATAGAATTTGTTCACTTTAACAATGTTACATAGCAGCATCAGAACTGTCTTAAAAAAAATCAGTTTTATTGAGAAAAAATCTAGGCATTGTATTATTCTATGTATTTTCCTTATTTTAAATCCTAAAACTTCTGTTTATTTTTAATTAATTTTAATCTCGACTTGATTAAATTAAGTTTAAGAGAACTATGTTTTATTGGAAAAAAATTGTTTGGATAGCATTTTATTTCTATCGGAATAAATATGCTCCAGTCTAAAATTTAAATAACTAATTTTTTCTTAGAAATATTAAACATAGACTAATTAATAAACTTTAAAAAATTCTAAAGTACATAATTAATTAATAATTTTGGAAAACGTCTAAATAAGAAAGATATTCAAGTATGAAAAAACTTTAACACAAATGAGAAAAAAAGAAATTCTTTTAAAAATTTAATTCTTAAAAATTATGAAAGTTCAAACTATTTATTTTTGTAAATATTTTACAGCTAAAATATAGAAAAATCTAGTTCTTTTTTTCAATGTCAAAGTATACAGCATAAAAAACCTTCCATAAAAATAATAAAAAGTAACTTTATGAAACATTATATAACATAAAAAGAAATTCTATATCGTTTGCTCTGATGGTTCGAACTTAGCCCTCTCGGCTATGGGACAGATATATTATATTATATTATATTATATTATATTATATTATATATGTAATACTTACCAATCCTTTTGATGGTGTGTTTTGGCATGTGCTTACAGCTGCTGCGTAGCTGCCGTTAGAACCCAGGTAGTGGCAAAGTGGATAGTAACTTCCATCTAATTCGTTTATTTCATCGCCTTCTGTAGTAAATGCTTTAAAAGATGGTGCAAGAAGTCGATCATTCCTTTGAAGTTGCATTTGTACAACATGACCAAACAATGATTCCGTGACCATCATTAAATTTTTAGGCTGTGCTTCTTTTCTTCGAACTAAATGGTGATCGGAATTTTGTTCTAAATCAGTTCTCCTTATTCGAATGTTAGTTAGTGTGTAATCTGGAACTATAGAAAAAGAATATTGAAAAATATGTTCTGTATTTAATGATATTACTAATTGAATTGACGAATTTACTCATATATTGTATAAAGCTATTTGTTTACTGTTGCATAAAATTAATATAAAATTTATTTCTAACAAGGGCAATAACAATAGCAACCATAATCCATATTTTGTAAGTGAATCGACTAAAATTTTTTCCTAATTCGTTAATTTCATTTTCTGAAATTTTAATATTTTGTCATCGGTTGTTTTTACATTAAGCCGACGTTACGTGAGAGGCCTTTTATGCAATTTAAGAAAACGTGCTTTTAATTTAACTAGCCTTTTTCTTAAAACCTATTTAACTTTTTAAATAAATCGAACATTTTATTCGTGCGAAATGAAATTTATGACACTTATCAACAGCTCTTTTTAAGAAACGACTCACCTTCACTGTTAACAAGATATTCCCCTTTTACAAGAAACAGTAAAGAAAAATATTTTTGTAGCTAGCGCAGAAACTTATAGTTTTTTGAACAAAAAATACTCGGAGATAAATTTTTAAATCAATCTAGCTAGAAAATAATATTTTATGAATTACACTCTTTCTGTTTCTAAATTAATAGTATTTAAAAAATTCAGATTTTTGTAATAAAACAAAGGTATAAACATTTTCTTCCTTAAAAAGTTTTTCCTTTTTCACTTATAAACATTTTAATTCTTAAGTAAATAGTTAATTGATAATATTTCATTACTTGATTTTGCTGAATTAAACCAGTTTGTGATCTTTGTTCCACCTTCCCAAAATTACGTAAAAGTTCCTTATAATTTTTAGCTCTATATTTAATAGTTTTTTTTTTTAAGTTTTAAATCTATTTTTAACTTAAGTAGCAGCATTATTTTTTACTCTGTTAAACAAAATCTGACAGAAATAACCGCCTTTGGCATCCAGCCTGGTCACCTTTCGAAATTTTCTTGTACAACGAATAATTTTTAATAGTAGCCAAGCCGATTGACTTACACAACTGCATTTTAATATTCTAATTCCTCTCCTCCAATTCTAACACCTTAATTTATTTCAAGCAATATAATAACCAAATTTTTCCCCGTATGTTAGAATTTTTATTCTAAAATTACTGTAAATAACCGGAAACTGTCTGTTCATTTAATTAACTGCAAAGTTTACGGTAAAGAACATTTTTAACTTTACAGTTTTGAAACCATTTACAACTAGTATGGTTAAAAAACCGTGAATACAAAACTGTCTTGTTTTTGTAACCAACTAGTATGATTTCAAAACCGTAAAAAAATTGGACATTAGGGCTGGACTTTTCGTTAGGTTGTGGTAAAGTTGTGCTTAATTAAATGAACCGTGGAATGTGGTTCAGTTTATCTGATTGTTTCACCTATTTTAATATGTGGGAAATACTAAACTTTTTTATGTTAAGCAGATTTATGACGCTGCCATCTGTGCGATAATGAGAGTATCCTATTCTATTATCCTATGGTCACAATTTGGGGAGGGGGGTGCAAGACTCGGTAAACTTTTCATGTGGTGAAGGGAATGTAGGAAATATTCATTCTAGTGTCAACGTTTAGACTCTAGCCCCTATTCTGTTGATCAGGAGATTAGCAGATTAGCCCTCTCGGCTATATTGCATGTACACAACTGCAAGGAACTTACGTGGGTCTAATTGGCACGATAAAATTCTGGTTGTTTAACAATATTCGGTGAAAGCATTCAGTAAACGGTTTTTCTCACAGTTGGCCTTTTGAATATTATCTTATTTACGGTTATTTGACTGCTTTGTTTGAATATCGTGAAATAACAATTAAATAAACTGTTACGTAACTATTTTTTCAGAGAGATTTTTAACAGTGCAGTTGCCTGCGAAGAAGTACATAGATTTCAATTTTAACCATTTTCAAAAGATGTCCGGGATGTTTTCAAAGCTCTTTATGTATTGAATTTCAGAAATAATTTAAAACCTGTCCCGCAGAAATTAAATCAAACAAGCCAACTTAAAGTACGAGTTCAGGATATTTCAGCATAGTAGTCAGCAGGAGTATTGGTATAAGTTCACCAAAGAGTATTGGAATAAGAGTATTGGTAAAAGCTCACCAAAAACTTCGAAAAATATTTTTTTTCAAGGATGGTCTGACACACTGTAGAAAAACTTTATTTCATTCTTTTATATAAACGGCAGATCTATTCGATGATTAATACTGCAAATAATTTTAAAATTTATTGCAAATAAGTCCATAGTTTCCTATGTAGACCACAGAAAAACATACGTTTCTCTCTCCTTTCGTTTTTATGTAATTGATTTTACAAATTGCCAAACTTCTTCATCTAGTAATACATTGAAACTTATGAAAATACCTACCTATGAAAACACATTAATTAAACATTAATTAAACTCAAAGGTTAGAATCAATAAAATAAGCAAAACTTATTACATACCATCATCGTGATTCTCAACAGAAAAATATTTCCGCAACTGATCCTTATTTAATCGCTTATGAAATTTCGGTTGAGGCTGAAATGAAAAAAATTCTGAAAATTATAAAAATAAAAAAAAACTACACTTAAGAAAACACTGTAAAAGAAAAAATATATTTATAATGTAATAAGAAAAGAGTTTTACCTTATTAACAAATTATTAAACCTAATTGATGAAGTACTTAGTGTAAAGTTTATTAAATAATTAAAATATCGGTCTATCATATTTTTTTTCGAATTCAGATAGGAAAGTAATAAAAAACAAACTTAGAGGTTCATTTATTCAAAATAACAAATGTTGCACTAAAGATTTTTTTCATTTATCAATAAAGCACTTATTCACTAAACTAAAAAATGCATCTTTGAATAATTGTCCTTGCTTTTACAGCTGAATTCGCCAATTATTTCTGGTTCAGAATAAGAGAAAAAAATAAAGAGTTCTTAAATTAATTATTTTTTTTTATTATTTAATATTTCTTTTTTATGTCGCGAGTTCTATTTATATACAAAATTACCGGGCTGCGTTAATTTAATTTCTCTCAACATATGAACTGTTGTGTAACTTAACTTATCCAAAAAATTGATATATTGCTAGCTAGATATAGATAGATAGATAGATATAGTGACATAATATACTTACAAATGAAAACGTGGGCATGGCCAGTATGTTCAAGATAAATATGCAAAAATTGATCTTCATTATGATGAGTGGATGTTTCTAAAAAAATATTAACTAATATCTTAAATATTCTCATTTTGAAACTAACATACACTAAACTAAATGAAAATTATTTAATTTATTTCATAAAAGTAATTATTAAAAATTGAGTCTCATTATGCACATTCATAAGAAGATAAAAATCTAAAACTTTTGAAAATGTTTTTATTTAAAACACTGTTTTATACTAAGCATTATTCGAAAATTGTCATTTATTTCGAACTTATTTAATTATTCCTTTTAATATGATTATAAATTTCTTACATTTTTCATTTTCAGTATTTATTTCCCGTCTATTCCTATATAAATTATAATAACTTCTATGAAAATGAATAATATCCCAAGATTTAGCAAGTTATCCTCTTCATATATTTTAAATGCTAAAAAAGTAAAAATGAGAAACACTATGCGTCATTTGATGCAAGGAAAAACTTAATGATCTAGAAAATTATGTAATTTTTATTATCCAAAAATTTGAGGATAAAGCGGAATACTTGGAAATAAAGAACACAGGCATAATTTTGTATATTGCCATCGGAAAAAATAGCTGCTTTTTAGCACCGATCAAAATTTGGTTAAAGCTATTTTTCGAAGAGACTGATGTCATATGAAGTAACGCTTTTTAGCATATAGTATGCTTTTCCTAAAACTGTTGAGAATTTTTAGCAGTTACTTATCACTGTTATGTTAGGTTTCGTCTACAATTAGTCAGCACCTTCTATGCTAATTATGAAAATAGTCAAGATGAAGAAAATTAACAGTTTTTAAAAACTGAAAGGAGTTTCTGATCTAACTTTTTTTTTATTCCCTGGGCTCATAAAAATTTGCGAAAATTGAAATTTATTAATTAGTTTAAGTGATTTTCATCTAGGTGAAAAATCTCGCTGAAGTGGCGAACTTCAAAACAAAAAGTATTTATACATGGACTAATTTTCTTTAAACAATTAAGCTATTTGTCTGTTCCAAAGTCCAAATAATTCTATATTTAAAGATAGAGTCGGTGGCTTAAAGGACAGAGCTCTCGCCTCTGAATGAAGTGACCCGGGTTCGAATCCCAGAGAAGGCTTATCTTTACGAATTCTGAAACCAGGTCGCACTAACGTGAAACATCCTCAGTAGTAGACGGATCACGGGTTAGAGTTCCCTTGCCGTCTGGCTAACCGTGGGAAATTTATTGTGGTTAGTTCTGCCAAAACGTCCTCTACGAAAGCATATTTCTCCCGATACTTGATCCAGGAATTTCTTTCTTTAGTCTTCTGGATTGGGTTTGAAATTACTAGGCTGCGGAGTTAAACATTGGTAATCATGAACTCAAAATTAGATTGACTGTATAATGATGGCTATAAAATATAAAATACATGGAAAGACGGAATACATACATAAATTATAGCTTTGCTTCGAGTTTAAAGCCTCTCAGGTTAATTGTAGATCTTTTTTTTCTCGGTGGGGAATTTTTGAGAAAAAAACTTGACGTCACACTAGAGTTACTCTAACCTTCTTGCAAGTATGCGTGCTCACCCAATGCATTGATATTATTATTATTGTTATTATTATTATTTCTAAATATTACGATGAAGGAATTCAAAAGTTTACGAAAGGAGTCCGAAAATTTCAAAACATCAAAGTTCCAAACAAACGTTTAAACACTAGAAAAGAGTGAAAAATCAAATGTCAGTACTACACAGACTAATCCTAAAACAACCTGCAACTATATACAAACATATTTAAATACAAAACATCTCAAGACAACTAAAAAAAAATTACCAATCAGATATGATGAATTTATATTTCACGAAGTTGAAACTCTCGTCTGAAAACGAACTTTTCACACCATTCTACAGAAAAATGGTTTCGAACGAATCATTGTGCTTCAGCAGGTGGCAATGTAACCGACTCCCAAAAGATTCCCTCTAATATACATAAGTGTCCCTAGAAGGTGCGGTCATTACAAAAAATACAATGCGGGTAAAAACTATTTGTCTTATTTAAGAGTTTGGCGACTTTTTTTTGTCCCTCCGCCTTCATTATTACCACTATGATTTGAAAATGTCTGCTCTTAAGATTTCCCCCATTGGGTACGAAAATGGTGTATATCAGACCGCTAACTATTGTAACCTTGAAGAAATTTCCAATTCATGAGGGATAATGAAATTTAATTACGAACATTAAGGCTGTTGATCTTTACAATTAAATATATAAAACTCATCATTCTTATTTTTAATAAAAAATAAAAATAAAAAAACACTTTCAGAAAAATCAGTTCACACCACAGTATTGGAAGATCACGAAGCCTCACAAGAAACAAACAATATATGGTACCATATGTTTCATAACTTCCTATTAAATCCCATAATAATAAAATCAATTTCAAAATAAATGAACCTTATAGTAAATAACTGTTGGTTTCTCTTGGAATGTTCAGGAAACTTTATTTATAGATTTGAAAGGATAATTACTTTAATAACTTTTGATCTAATTCTCGAAAGTTGTTCCATTAAGCTACAATTCCAATGCCTTGGAAAGTCAATCCAAATTAAGATAATGAAAGTTGAAATTTAAAAAAAAAAAAGATCCTACTTTCGATTTTCTTGCCAATTATAAAAATAGTCCTAATTTCTTTTCATACACATTCTTCTCTGTACAGATATAAACTTAGTGCCTTCAAATATTAGAACTTACGTATAAAATAAAGGCCTTATTTGAGTAAGGAACAACTCACTTATAAATAGTCTCACTTTCACATTCAAGCAAGTCTTTTGTACCTTATTTTAAAATTCGTTAACCTCTAGTTCAAATCTGATGCCAAAGAAATCTCACCAAAAATCAGAGAAGATAGGTAAAACAATACGATCATTAATTTTAAGGATTCGACTCTATGCCAAAATGAAAAAAAGTGAAGTTTTCCCAATTCAAAAAAGGAAAAAGCAAAAAAAATTTAGAAAGTTTTATTTTTCTACATCAATCATTATGAAAGATAAAATACGATATCTGCAATATTATAAGGTAACTAAAAGAAATTTTTATGTAACACAGTATATACTTTTATGAATTTAAATAGCTTTTCCATTGTATTCGAAAAATAAATTTTTAATTCAATTTCGAACTACCAATGAATTTTCTCTTTTTTACATCGAATAGTTGAAAACAGCTAATGACATAGATTAATAACTTTTTTCATTACTTTTGCAAAATAACTTTGGAAATAATAAAAAACCATTACTATCCAAAGTTTCGTAATAGTTGTATCTGTTTATTTATTTGTTTCGTTTAGTTCATAAGAATTTATGTAATGACGATTGCTTGCTTTTTTTATTATTTTATTTATTACACAAGAAAACCACTTTTTGTGATTAATTCGCTTATGCATCACTTAATAATTAGTTTTAAATCAGCAAATATACTTAATTAAAAACAAATTGTAATTGTATCTAAGATAAAGAAATGAGAATTAGTTAATAGTGTGTGTCTGCAAATGTGAATTAAAACCAATATGCCTAATGTTATTATTTTTATTTATAGAAATAACATTTTCATGTTTTCCAAATCGGTATTTCAAAGATATTTATTACACAAAAGGCAATTTTTGATCTACAGCTAAATAGCTCAAGTTACTCGGTCAAGATTTTTTTTCACGAGGGGCGCATCCTCTCTCTTTAGGTGGAGCACGCTATCACCCCCACCCCCCCATAGCTGGAAAGCATTTTATTTTTGATAACTATCTTCTCAAGACATGTTTATTTATTTGATATGCCATCTATATATATTTATTTTATGTGAAATATATATATATTATATGTGAAATATATNTAATAACTTTTTTCATTACTTTTGCAAAATAACTTTGGAAATAATAAAAAACCATTACTATCCAAAGTTTCGTAATAGTTGTATCTGTTTATTTATTTGTTTCGTTTAGTTCATAAGAATTTATGTAATGACGATTGCTTGCTTTTTTTATTATTTTATTTATTACACAAGAAAACCACTTTTTGTGATTAATTCGCTTATGCATCACTTAATAATTAGTTTTAAATCAGCAAATATACTTAATTAAAAACAAATTGTAATTGTATCTAAGATAAAGAAATGAGTATTAGTTAATAGTGTGTGTCTGCAAATGTGAATTAAAACCAATATGCCTAATGTTATTATTTTTATTTATAGGAATAACATTTTTATGTTTTCCAAATCGGTATTTCAAAGATATTTATTCCACAAAAGTCACTCAAAAATTTTTGAGATACAGCTAAATAGCTCAAGAAATTCATACTCGGTCAAGATTTTCTTTCACGAGGGGCATCCTTTGTCTTCAGGTGGAGCACGCCATCATCCCCCATAGCTGGAAAGCATTTTATTTTCGATAACTATCTTCTCAAGATATGTTTATTTATTTGATATACCACCTATATATATTTATTTTATGTGAAATATATGTATCTATATATATTATATGTGAAATATATTATAGTTATTTTTAAAATTAAAATTAATAAAATTTTCCTCTGTGAACCTACAGTTTTCTGGTAGGAGTTTTTAAAGTATTTGGCAGTTTTTGTCGTAAAACATGCTTGAGAATTAACACTGTTAAATCTGGTGCATAACATATAAATTTAAAGATCTAAAAAAGAGTTAAAATTAAGGAAAATTTCGGGAAAACTATAATTTTGAGTAATTGTGTAGAACTAATTACGCTAATAAAATTTAAAAAATTTCTTCAGATTTAAAAATTGTCACAGCAAAAATAATTCAATAATTATTTCCGTTTTTACTTTCTCAATAAAAGATTCTTTATGAACTTCATACTTTTTTCAAAGTCAAAAAGAAACATGAAGTAAAATAAATAGTTAATGCATTTTAAAAAAGCGCACCAGTTATCAATATCAAATTGATACCAGAAGAAAAGCAACCACATTGAAATTTCATTTGGACTTTTTCAAAATCTACTTTTTTTCCTTATTACTTCACTTATTACTTTCCTTAGAACTTCACTTATTATATTAATTATTTTCTTAAGCACTTAAGAAAAAAAGAAAAGGAGTATAAAAAAGAAAGAGCAAAAGAAAAGGAAAGGGCTATTCTCGATAAACCTATTATTATTTTAATACTTATAACTTAACTTTGGATTATATAATAGAGAAAAGAAAAGAAATGAAAAAGAGGAGGTGCCTAATCAAATAAAAAGTATTATTGTTTTAATGCCTATCATTTAATACTGAACTATATAATTATTTGTTCTCTACGTTACAATAAAAACTTTGTATGAAATAAATGCGTTAATAGGTACGTTATAAACATTATTCGATCACAATTAAATATCGATCAAAAAACTTTTAATTCCATATGTAGAGGAACTGTCACGTGAGTTGACGACCGTCACCTTCAACTCTCAACGCATTTGTTTTTGTCATTCAACTAAAGCAAAGGGGAAAAAAATCGACACATAAGATTACGATTACGATGCAAATGACACCTTTATTTATTAGGAATGAAACAGATGCTTACATTAATTACTTTCAGGGTTAATAAAAAAGAAAGTGATTTATAACATCATATGGGAATACTTCATTAATAATGGCATAAATATAGGTGAGTAGGATTAAGTCTTTTATTATTTCTTACATGTCTTTATTATACACAAAATGATCATTTGTTAGGTAAAAATCTTACAAAGAGTTGAAAAAACTGTTACATCGAATATCACACCCAAAATATTTTATGAATGAATCGAATATCAATAAAATATTTTTCTTCTCAAAACTTACAAGAAAGAAACTATCTGGGTTTAAATTTGAATAAAAATTTTTTTAAAGCATGAAACCAATTTTTGAAAAGTGAAATAAAAAAATTTCGATCGTCGATTTCTTAGCCCTAATAAGTTAACAAAATTTTATTTATTTGAAAAACACCTTTGCTCATTCACTGATTCTCAGCCTAAGCCCGAAAGCGAGAGCCCGGGGCCGACCTGACGCAGGTTCGTGGTCGGATTCATAATGGAATTTTCATAAACTTTTGCAGAACTCTAAAAGTAATCATAGACAAAGTTAAAATAAAATAATATGAAATGAAAAATTTTAAAATCATAATAATTCTCAAAAAGATTTCAGATAATAAAAAAAAAAACTAATTCTGCTCTTAAATGTTACTCTTTGATTTTACTACAGCCATGCTCAGTTTTATTTAATATATAAATGTTAACAAACAACACTGAAAAAGAAATTCTTACTGAATGCAGTATGCGGTAAACGAAGTAGAGTGAAGGAAAATAAATTCTTATTACAGTGTGAGGGATTTTGATTAGGAATCTTACAAACGTTAAAAAAAAAATCGAATGTTTGCAGTTGTCGACAATTCCTCTTCTACATTTCTCTGTCTCATTCAAATCTAGATTTTTCACCTTATTCTTTGTTTTACATAGAAGTAATAAAAAAGGTTTCAATGACTAATTTCCTTACTTAGACATCAAAGGCCAAGTGGGAGGACAGCAAAAGTTGGCCTTTATCCAACGTATATCTCGGACTAAGGCTGTAAGAAATCCCAAGTATCTCAGGCTCAGATTATAATTCTTTGGACCTGCAAAAGCGAGCTCGAAATCATCTCTAGCCGTATTTGCTCAGGGGACAAAGCGCTCATCTAACAATGAGATGACCCACGCTCAAATCCCACCGAAGGCTCTCGTTATGAATTCTGTACCCAGTTCGCACCGACCACAGTGCTGGCGTAAAGTATTCCCAATGGTAGACGGGTCATGGATTAGAGTTCACTTGAAGTCCGTCTTACCGTGGGAGTTTTTGCGGTTTTCCTCTCCTTGTAACAAAAAAGCGAGTTAGTTCCATCTAAAAATCTTCCACCAAGGGTAGTTTCTCTCAATGCTTGACGAGGACTACCTTTGTCTTCAGGATATGATTCAAAATTACGGAGATACGGAGTTAAATATTGATAGTTGTAAGCTGTTCAACACCGGTTATAAAATAAAATAGAATAAAATAAAATAAAATAAAATAAAATAAAAAATCCGTAACACGCATACTTCGCCATTCATCTATCCATCGGTTTGCAAGTTTTTTTATTCGCCTATTCACATGAATTTTTCCCACGTTCCTTACCTTCTTTATTTAATTATTTTTTTTTCGAGAAACATTTATAGTAATGGATTACTATAAATGCATGGTGACGAGAATCTTTAATAATTTGCTTTTAAAATAAATTCAAACAGTTTGTCATGACACAAAACATACATAAATGACATAAAGCCGAAAGAAACATAATTACTAACTTAAATAGTTATCACATTAAATTTTTTTGTATAATTTGCCAAAATAAAAAGTTAACAAATTTTGGTATATTTGGTATAGTTAACAAATTTTGGTTCATGATGTCGCTCACACTAAGGGTAACAAAATGAAATTAGATCATTTTTACCCCCTCCGTTAAATGATCCAAGGAGCAATATAAAAATTAACCTTTCTCAAATCTACAACCCACAGGAAAGTTTTAAAAAATTAATGTTGGTTACATTTGATATTTTCGCACTTAGAAACTTTAGCTTACATAGTAACTAAAGTCTATATCTGCTGAGACTAAGTGTGTGCTATGGAATTATCATTTCAGTCATGCTATGGAAAAGTTGATAGAATAAACACATTTATCTTTAAAAATACGTCTTAAATAAATTTAATAATTATTATTATTATAAGAATTATTATAAGATTTATTATAAGAATTATATTAATATTAAAATGATACTTTTAATTGTTTTCCGTATTATCTTATGAAAAATTTGTTCTCAAGAACACAATATCATAAATAAAATAAAATGTTACATTTTGAAAGACGAAAAGATTAGTGCAAAAAATTGCAACAAATAACTTATTTTATTATAATTTAAAGACTATTAATTATTGCCTTTTAATAAGATGTATTCAAGTTTAAATAAGTAAAAAGTATTTTAAAATTGTAATTTGTTTGAGCTTTTCTCTTAAATAGGTTGAATTAATTTTCAAATAAATAAAACTTCATGCGTCTATCTAAATGTTTAACTGTCTTTAAAAAAATTGATAAAATAAAAATTTTAAGAATTTCCATTTCCTCACAAAATTTGGTGGTTCCATCTACCGTTCAAGGTTCCTACTAGAACTGTAAAATGATGAAATTCTTAATCTTTTCCCTCTTCGCTTGCAAATAATTACAAACTTTTTCTTTAAAGGAAGAGAAGATAAACAAATTTATACATAAAGAGTATAGGTCATTTATAAAAAGGAAATCGAAGAAGTATTGAAATAAGAATCTCTTAGAAACTGTCGCATGTCTGCCGAAAATTAAAAAAAAGAAAAGAAATATGCAAGTATGAAGAAGAAAGAAATGATTCTTATTTAAGTTACCGAGATCTTTGTAAGAATTTTATTATATTTTTAAAAAGCAAAACGGAAAAAGAGGTAATAATGAATAATTCATGAAAAATGGGAGTAAGATTACTCTATAATCATTACGTAACTTTGCTTATAGCTCGCTTTGAGTAACGTAGTCCCTGACTGAATATTTGGAAACAACTCAACTTACCGGTGTAAATTTGGTTTTGGAGTCGAGTTCGGCTGCTAGGGTGTTTGGAGTAGATTTGATTTGTAATAATATTTTTTTTATATTAACTTTACATCAGAAATATGATCTGCATATAATGACATTTCTTAAAAATAATTTAAAGCATTCAAATAGCTTTCTAAACCTTAATCTTTTTACAGAAACAATTAATTTTTGTAGCGATTAATGCCAATCTTGTGATGGCGTCTCTGCTGTAATTATAATTAATTCTAAGAAGCGATCTTAACTAGGGATGGCTTTATTTGTGTTGGTAGGTAATAAATGCCATTTAATTATTTAAAATTTGACATATATTTAATTTCTTATAAAAAAAGTGTATAATTTCGTAAAATAAAAAGCAAATAGATCCGCAAATGCTTGAAGACTAAAGAGTGCACTTAGGATTTGAAAAGTGATCTTGCCAAATTTTGTCTTGTGTGTAATCAGTATATGAATTGCAAACTAATAATTCTGTTAAATCAAATATTTCAAAAAGAAATATTCTCACTCATATTTAATTATAATGCCTTGTAAACATACAATTAAGTTATTGTGTAAAGCATTCTTTTTTTTATTTACACTAGTTAAAGGTTTCTTTTTTGAGTACAATATTTAAAAAAGTTTCAATTGATGTTAATTTATTAAAATTATGTTATTAAATTTTGAAAACAAATGCTGGAATATTGTGCAATTCTGAATTACATGACAGCACTAATGCTATAACAATATGCATTCTATAGTATTTTTTGCACTTTTCATTTTATATTTGTTCATTTGTATATTGAGATTAGGGCTTGATTTATCAAAAAAAGAAAAGAAAAAAAACATAGGACTCTGGTTCTAGTTGTCCCTCTAATTTTTAAAATAAATTTTTTCTCTAAGAATTATCTAGTGGAATTATTAGTTTACAAAAATTGAAATGAATGTTAACTTAAATTTTTTTAATGAATCAGAATTTTCTTAAATTATAAATCATTAAAAAGAATTTTTTTCCCAAGCATGTGTATTTAGCTTAAGATTTAATTCCATGATCCCTAGATCTCTAAATAAAACTCTGATAGTAATTGTTGCTTGGAAAAAAAAGTTTTAAAAAATTCATGAGATTGTAAGATTAAGCTGTTTTTTTTTTTATTTGTTAATTTTTTAACTTAGAACATCCATTGCAATTCTTTAAAACAATTGTTTTTGCAAAATGTAATTCTAGGAAGTTCTCTAAAGAATTATCGAGTTTTTTTTTTTTTGGTAGTTTAATTGTTCTATTCTTAAGTAATTGCATTTCATTGCAAGCGCTTAACCCATTTCCTTAACTGAATTCTCATTTTTATGCTGTGCATGGCTGAAATAAAATTTATGTTTTTTTTTTGTTTTTTTTTCTTTTAAATTTCTATTAATATATTAGACAATTCAAGGATCAAGTTAAAAGACTTTGTGGGCCACATTTGGTGCGCATATCATAGGTTGGTTGTGCACCCCTGATGATTATTACAGGGAAAAGATTACAAATATTTAAAAATTACCTGATCAAAAATAATAAAGACAAAATAATTTTCTGAAATTAAACTGTTGATCTTTTTATTTTGCGTATAGGACACCTATATTTTTTGTTAATCAGTTGTGTGTGTCACATTTAATTGTAGGAGGGTCTCAAAGGAGTTATATCTGAGAATGGGATCTGAAGATGCAGAAGTGCAGTGTCAAACTCAGTCAGCATCAGCTAGTGTACCTTGTGAATCTGCAGCATCATATGGCATTGCTACTGTGCCATTTGTAGCTTCAGTTTCTGTAGCTCCCAATAGATCTGCTAGTGGAACCCCAGTATCAGCAAGCGCAGTCATGTTAGCTCACTCAGCTGCCTCGCATACCCCTCCCCAAAACGTAGCTGTTCAACCCTCTGTTGCAGCTTCTCCTTTACCTCATGTAAGTAATTATTCAATTTCAAATGTGTTTCATTATTTGAGTTGTATTCTGTTTGTCAATTTTAAGTATATTTTAGTTAGTATTTAATGAGTTTAGAGCCGTAATGACCTGGTTAAAGGCAGTGAGTTATCATTTTATCTGACTAAGGTTTAATCCGAAGTTTACCCAGTTTCAAAAAGCTAATCTGGGAAGTAAAGGTGGCCTGTGCATAATACTGACCAGATTATCACTATCATTCCATTGGTCTTAAAATGATGCCTTAACTTCCATGAATCCCCTGGCTCACATCAGACTGTTTTAATTGTAATTTCGTAAATATCAATTTTTATTGTTTTAACTGTGCACTAAATCATTGATAAATGCAGAGTAATCATTGATAATGCAAAATAAAGAGAAAATCATGTTTTTTTCAAATTTACGTTTAAATTAACTACAACTCAGTAACATGATTGCTGCTTACTACAAAAGTGTACCAAAACAGTTTTTTTTTTTTTAAAATTTTATACATAAATTTGTTTTATTCTGCATCATTTATTTGTGAACTAAATCTTTGATAAAGGCAAAATAATGTCTTATGCGTAAAAAGAAAATCTTGTTTTTACTTTTTTTTTTCTTCAGATTTATATTTAAATTAACTACAACTCAGTAACATGATTGCTACTCACTACAATAGTGTAGATATGCATAAATTTGTTTTATTTTACTTGAGTTATATTTTCTATTGTTCAAACAGAAAACATTACTAATTTCCTCTAAAAAAGATATTTATTTTCGATAAAATTTTTATTAAAACTTATCTTGTCTAAAAATTAATTATGTTATGATAAAGGGAAATCTAATAATTTCAGTATAGTATGCACTGTGCAATTATTAATTTTTCAGGAAAAATTTATATTTCTGATTGTGATTCTAGCTAGAGCAAAATTATTACATCAAATCTGTAAAACTTGTCTGTTCAAAGTGTAACAATTGTTGTTTGGATTATGATGGAAAAAATATATATATACTGTTTTGAATATTGCCAGAAGACTACTGCAAGTTACTATCTATTCATTTCACTTGATAAATTAAAAATATAGGAAGTATTTATTTATAGTGAGAGTAATTAGTAATTAGCCATCTAAAACTAGGCATGTTTATTAGTTTTTAGTTTTATATCAAAAAATGTTTCGTTGCATTTATTAGCTACCACAAACTATTTGTGTATTTCAAATTTGCCCGCACATACACACAATGTGAAAGTTATACTGTTAATCGGTATTAAAGGAATTTTAAAAAATAGTTGAGCAGACTGATTTGTTTTATAGGAATTACTGTTATTTGAAAGGATTTCTAACAAAATATAGTTTAAGTGTGCTCTCAAATAAGCCATAGTTTTTAAAAATATAATAAATATTTTACTTAGTGGCCTATATATATAATCAATTTTTCATTTTGATTTTAAGTATTTTTCAACACAAATTTTATTAGTTTAAAACTATATTTTAAGTTCTTTATAACCTTTATCACATGTATTGTGATAAGCATTATAAAGAGCTTTCATTAAATTTCAATTATGCTTTTTATTCATGTCTGGTTTAATTGATTTCTAGTTGTACTGTACAGAAATACTATGGATTAAATTGTACTTTAGTTCATTTTTAACTGAAATCTTTTCCATTTATAAAAGTTATATTTTTAAATTCAATTATTCACTATTACTATTATTCTGTACACAATTTTATTTTATAAAATCATAATTTCAATTTTTTTAAAAGAATGTCAAAAGAAAACACTAAAATGTTATGAAAATTTTGAGGGAGAAAGAAGACACAACAATTTTACCAAAAGCTTGAAGCGTTAAAAAATATTCTAAAATTTGAGCAAAAATTGAAAAACTGAAAATTGATTTCGGAAGAGCATAATATTATTCTCATAAGAGCAGCAAATCGCAGAAATATTTTGAAAGTAATAAAAATTAATCAGGCAAGAATTGGAATTTGTGCTATAAAATATTGCAAAAATCAAAAAAAAAAAAAAAAAAAAAAAAAAAAAAAAAAAAAAANTTTTCTTTTATAGTCGCTTGAAGTTTTTAATACATTGGTTACTAACAGCTTTTTAAATTCTAGGGGAGAAAGAAGACACAACAATTTTACCAAAAACTTGAAGCGTTAAAAAGTATTCTAAAAATTTGAGCAAAAATTGAAAAACTGAAAATTTGTTTCGGAAGAGCATAATATTATTCTCATAAGAGCAGCAAATCACAGAAATATTTTGAAAGTATATAAAAATTAATCAGGCAAGAATTGGATTTTGTGCTATAAAATATTGCAAAAATCAAAAAAAAAAATTGAGGCACAGTGACAACTAATAGTTAAAGGTCATTAAAAAATAAATGAAAGGCTACACTAGATAAAAAAAAAAACCTTTTTTAATTGTCGAGCTATATTTTAGCCATTTATTTTTGTATCATGGATATCAAAATTGGCTATCCAATAGCTATATGACTCAACACAGTCTTAGGTTTATGTAAAGAATCTTGCAATGCAAAATTACTTTGTGTATGAATTTAGAGACCCAAACATGTAACATATTTTATAATCATCATCAGTTTTTTAAATGAAGAGGAATGTAGCTTTATATTAAATGATGCACTGTAAATTAATTCTTCAAATTTTATTAGGTTCAAGTTATTCAGCAACCTTTGCAGAATCAGTATTTACAACATGTGTATGCACCGCAGCAACAACACATGTTTCTTCCAGGCAACTTGACAATACAACCTGCCATACAAAGTATTGGTGCTACTCCAGGTATAAGCCTACAGTTGCAAGGAAAAGCTATGGAAAATAAAGCAGCCACTCCAACAATAATTTCAGCTCCCATGCAGTCGGTGAGTTTTACAATCTGTCAATTTACAAACACTGATATACCTTATTTTTCAATCTCAGGCTATCTGAAAATACATGCAATGGATAGATTAGCATTAAGCTAACAATATATTTTGATTATACTTTTAATTTACAATCAGTTTCCTTAGATGGATAAGGAAGGCTTTTATTTTCAGTATTTTAAGATTCTGAGGTGGTTTTTCTTTTTTAAGGGAGCGCAACTTTCTGCTATATCAAAAGTTTGACAAATTATATGTTGTCATCACTTTTTGTTAATTTTCTCCCTCCATTCAAATATTATTTTCAATGACGAATCATTTTACTTGTAAATATGAAACATTACTCTCTGGTTTTCTAGATAATTTCATTAAGGAAGTTTAGTCAAACATTAGAGATTCTCTCTTTGATATTTTTATCATGGTCATTAAGCAATTGTGAGCGAAAGTTTACCTAAATACTGAAAAACATTTACTTTTCATCTTTAGTTATTAATAATTATTAATATTATTAATAATTATTAATATTATTACTAATTATTAATATTATTACTAGTTATTACTAATAATTAATATTATTACTAGTTATTACTAATAATTAATATTATTACTAATTATTAATATTATTACTAGTTATTACTAATTATTTATATATATATTAGTACTAATTATTAATTTAACAATTGTATTTTTTGTCAAAATACCTTAATTTCAGTTATGCATTTTAATTATTAAAAATTGTATTGTGAAAAATATTTTAACTTGATACTTGACAATTGTTGCTTACCTTTAAAAGAAGCTTATTTTCAACAATTTATTCTTTTAACGAGGAATTTTTCATGATAAAATACAAATGGGTCGATGGATAGAAAAAAAATGTGAAATTTCATACTAAATAGATTCTTGTTTTCAAACATGAAATATAAAATCACACAGATATTAATAAAAAAATTACTCTGTTGTACTTAATGAGTTTTGCTATTGTTGCTTTAAACTAACTAATTTAGAGAAATACAAATGGTTTTTGAATTTGATGTTTTCAGGTTGGAGCCTTTGGTGCCCAAAACCTAATACCAGCTGGCAATCAAATTGCTGGGGCGAAAGCGTGTATATCTGGACAAATGTTAGCTACTTCTAAATCAACTGCTGTAATTCAAGGTCAGTCTGGTTTCATTCCTGCTACAACTGCTAATCAGACTGTTGTCATTGGTCAACTTGGTGTTTTATCAAATCCTCAATCAGTCATTCCTCATCAAGCTAAAGCAATAACTGATGGTCAAAAAGGAAAATCTTATGTAAGTTTCTGCAATAAATTTTGTATATTTCAAAAAATCTATTTTTGATCATGCTTTTTGTTGTATCTTATTAATATGAATGTTATACGAAGTAATTAAAATGGGTTAACTAAATTTTTTTTCTCTGTAATTTCAGTATTATTATGGTAATTTTTGTACTTGTAATTCTGATAATTTTGTGCATATTTGTACTTGTAAGCTCCATATCTTTCTTGCTACTGTTCATCAATTAGAAAATATGTGTCCACTAAATTTATTTATTGTTTAGTTGCTTAAATTTAACAGATATTATCATACTAGCTTCTTTAATTGTGAGTTTTGTCAATTTTTTTATTAACTTCATATATTTTTTACTACTGTTCCTCAAAAGCCTTGATTGCTTCAGAATTTTCTCCCTCAATTATTAAAAACCTCTTAAAGTCCTGAAAATCCAGTAATTTCAGCTCTTACTTCATGAGTTTAAATGATTTCAGCTTATCTCTCAACCTGCCACTCTTCATCCCAAATCACCCATTCTACCATCTCCCAGTGTCTCGTGTGCTGGTCAAATGATTGCAACAAGTCAATTAAAACAGATACCATCAGCTCCTCATATCATAACTACTCAAGCTCCAACCATGATTGCTAGCCAGGCTCAAATTTTAGGTACAGATTTTTTTTTATTGGTTTAAAACAAAAGGCACAGATTTTCTGTGACACAATATATTTTATCGAGAAAGGAAATCTCTTCATTAAACAAATATATTTAATAAACAAATATTAGTTTGAAGTTTTTTAAAATTGATTTTGATTGTAATTAAATCTATTTCAAATATCAAAACTGTTTTGTTCTTTGTTAGCTCCACAGTTAGAAATTCCATGTAAAGTATATTTGTTATAAATATGTTTATTTATTTTATCTGAGACTTTGTTGGTTATTTTGACTATTTTTAGGCTGAATTCAAAACTAGAAAGAAAAAGAAAATAGACACTATTTTTGGAGATTTTGTTTGTGAAGTACCTAAACTCAAAGTCTTCAAGAAAAAAAAAATTTATATGTGGTTATGTTCACCAACTAAAAAAATACTGTTTAATTGATTTTATTAATTACGCACAGTTTAAAATTGTTATGGAACTTTCACACAACATATGCTTAGTTATTAAGGGGAAGATTATAAATTTTGCTAATTATACATACTTAATTTTGTCATTTTTAAAATAAATTTTTATTTTATTTAACTTCAAATTTGAAATTTTTTAAAAAAAAATAATGTACCAATTTCTTAAGACATGTATTTGATGAAAAAAAGACAAAGTTGCATAAGGAATTCAGACCTGAGTTTTTAAAATTAAAATTGTAAAACAGGAATAATCCTGTGTATGTAAATATAAAAGTAAAATTACATAGTTTATATCAATTTTTATTGTATCGTTATAATAAAGAAACAATTTTCTTTTATAGTCGCTTGAAGTTTTTAATACATTGGTTACTAACAGCTTTTTAAATTCTAGGTGAATTCTAAAATGGAATTTTGAATTCTAAAAATGTTTTTTTTTATGACTGTCACTGTTTAAAATTACTACTTTAAAGTTTAAATGCTTTTTTCTATCCATCCATTTAAGAAATTGTGTTAAAAGAAAACAAGAGAAAGAAAGAAATTGACTGTTCTTTACTATGGAAAAAATAGACAGTCATTTGCTTCATTAAACCCTGCTTATTCTGATTAATACACATTTCTCTGACTACATTATTAAGTGAAAATTGACTAGCATGCAGAAAAAATTTTTTTTAAAAAACATTAATGAAAATTCATACAAAAATTAATAATTTTTGAAAAAAGAAAATTTTTATTATTTCTTACTAACAAACAAGTATATTTTCTGCAAAACATAAATCAGAACATAAACAATCTAACACTCTGTGAAAGGAAACATATAAGAACTTATATGGGTATGATTTAATTTTGCTAATTTTGAATATTTGCCATTTCAGGATCTTTACAAGCATTGGGTGCATCTCTTCCTCCTGGACTTACCTGGGCTACACCCGGTTCTTTACATTCCCCTGCATTATTTGGACAGAATCCTATATTCATTCGAAGCCAACAGTCAGATATGTTCATTCAATCACCTCCACCCCAAGCTACTATCCATGCTGTACCTGTTGCATCTGCTGCTCAATTGCAACAGCCTCAGCAACAAGCCCAACAGATACAGCAACAGTCTCAACAAACTTTGCAACAGCAAACAACTCAGCAGCAACTTCAAGTTCAACAAGTACAGCAATCTCAACTACAACAACAACAATCTCAACAGCAATCTCAAGCACTGCAACAACAGCAGCAGACTCAGCAAGCACAACAGCAGCAGCAACAAATACAGCCTATTCAACCACCTCAACAAGTTCAGCAGTCACAACAAACAGTACAGCAGCAAACTCAACAACATCAGCCTGCTCCTCAACCACAACCAATCCAACAGCATCAACAAACAGCACTTCAGGCTATTCAGCCACATCAGCCTACACAACAAATTCAAATACAACCTGCTCCCCAACCCATTGCACCAACTCCAGCTGCCACCCCTGCACCGCAAGTTTTTAAGGTTAAAACTGTAAGTGAAGTTTTTAAATTTAAAAAAAATTAACACTTTTTGTTCCAAAATAATTTAATAAACCAATATGTTATTTTAACTTTTGTCACATTTTTTATTAATTATAATTATCCAAAGGTATTTAATCTTAAATATATCATACATTAAAAGAAACTTAAAACTAATATAATTTTGCTTGTGTTATTTTGAATATGTAGAAAAATAAAAATTGTTTGTTTAGTATTTTTCCAGTTTATTAATAAAAATTATTAGCCGCCAAAAATAATGTAAAGTTCTTAAATTATTCTGTGTCTGTGGGTCCATAAATTCTATTGTTAAAAAAGTTAAGTATTAAAAAATTTTAACTATTTTTTTTTGTATTTTAAATTTGCCTTAATTTATTGTATTTATTTTAGGCTTCACGTCCTGGTTGTTCTATTGCAACTCAAACTGTAGTTTCTACAGCAAGTCCAGGAATAAGTTCCACTGTAACCAAAACATTGGTAAATTAATTTTACTGCACATTAAGAAAATAGTTATCTTATTTGTACAGAAATTTATATGCACGTTTAGTTACTTATTATATTTCCATTCTTATTTATGGTTGAATTTTCTATGACTTTAGCAAAACCTGAAATTTGAATGAAATATTCTTTTTCTGACAATTCTTGTTATTATTATGTTTAAATTATTATTTTCTTTTTACTAATAAATAAATAATATTAATATGACTTTTCTTAAACAAAGAGTATACCATTTGTGTTATCTAGTAGTTTTTTTAATTTTAAATATAAAATATTGTTCATAGATTTGATCGAAAACTTTTATCACAACATTCAATATTAATTTTGCTTTCAAATTTAATATTTTTTTGTTATTAAAACATAAATAATAATTATGAAATAGTCTTAAAAATTTCTTCATTATCTTAAATTTTTTAGAGAATTTTTAAAAACACTTTTATATTTATTTGAGTTTTTAAAGATATTTTTAATTAAAAGTATCATAAAAATTGTACATTGCATATTAAAAAGACATTATGTACAGTATGTGAGTTGCAAAATTAACATTTTATTTTATAGTCGCATTTTTTAATTTTTATTCTAAATAGAAATTACCCCAGAAGTTAAGCTATTTTACTAATGAATGAAAATCATTATTAATCTGTTTATTAATTTTAATATTTTATTTACAGATAATACTGCACTCATTTATTTTATTTTTCTTATTTAAGCTTCTCTTTTACCCTAATTCACTGTCAATAAGTTGAAATAATCCTAACCTGACACATGTAATACCAAAAGTAGAGAAAAATGCTGGTGAAAAATTTAATAATTTTTTAATATTGCAGGGTAAACATAAATCTCGTTTTCTTCATTATCGAACTTCTGTTGCCTCTTCAGGATCTAATAGTTCAAACTTAACGACAGCAACTACACAGACTCAAACTCAACCTCCACCAAGTCAGAAAGCAGATGCTGCAAATCAGACAAAGCCTGCTGCAGCTGAAGTAAAACTTGCTGCCACTTACAACAAAATATTAGGTAATGAATTAAAAATCTTGTTTTACATTATAGTGCATAAGTTTATAATATTTAAAAATTTATTGCTTAGAGGTCTGACCAGATATATTGCAAAATAGTTTGTCAATGTTAGTTAATGTCAGTTAGAGCAATGTCAGCATTAAAAGGAACATGTTTTCCCTTAAATTTGACCAGTAATTTCCATTAGAAATGCTGCACCATCATACTCATTCCATCAGCGAAAACATTAGGTACATTTTTAATTATTGTCGTATTTGTCCCTTCTATTTTTATTCAATGTAATTGTTAAACTATATTTTCCATTTGGAGACTGCTTGTACAACAGTTGTTCCCTAAGACTTGCTTTTTTTTAAATAAAGATGTATTTGATATATAAGAGACATATGTTGATGGACATATTGTGTTGAAGACAAAACAAATATGGTATCGCAAAACATTAATGTTTGTCTCTCATATAGCAAATACTTTTATGACACAAAAGACTTAGGGCACAATTGTACCAGTTCTGTACAAAAGATAAAAGAAAGTAAGGACTTTAAAGTACCGAAAACCCGAATTTGGCAAATGTGTATAGCCATTTCTTTTTCCCAAGCCTGTTTATTTAATTCTGGAGAGCATTTATGCATGTATCGTGGTAAGAAGTGAGTCACTTTTTGTCCCTTTTTTTCATATGTTGTCACCTTTTATCACTTTTTTGCAAAGTTTTAGTAATAAAAATTTTACTTTTTAAATTTTTTTTCTACGTGGATTGTCATTTTGCAAACCTCAGTTTTAAGTTGCTGAAAATCTTGTCTCATTCCTAGGTAAATAGCTTTTACTTTTTCTGATTATCTTATGAAGATTATTTGAAGAACAACTAATAATATATGTTGTTTTAGTTAATCAGAGCATGTTAATTTAATAGTTTGTAGTAACAGAGGGTAACTGCAATGTGGCTGAATCTGTGATATTGGTAGAAATGAATTAGTAACTGCATTGTCTACTTAACTCCTTTCTAGCTAATCAATTGTTATCAGGAATATATTTGAAAGTTCTAGTACCTGGTTTATGTTTCTAACTTTATCTGTTTAATTTCTCTGTTTTTAATAAAACATGGTTACGAAACATGGTTAAAGAAATCCATTTTAATAAACTTAATCTTCCGCAGCCAAGTTTCTAAAGCATGTAGTTATAAGGTGCTATTAGAATTCTGGAACACACAGATGATGTGTTTAATTATTTTATAAAAAATATTTCTTTGTAAAAATCGGATTTAATTAAAAGGAACTGATGTAAAAATATTGTAAGTCTCCTAAAACAACCAATCATAAAAGCTGAACTCAGTTTCATAGCTGCATGGACTAAAATGTTCATAGAAATTCATGAAATTATTTCAGTATCAAGAATATCTAACAAATGAACTGTAGTATTAAACTTTTCAAGTGCTTTGCATTTTGATGGAGCATTTCTTGAAAACTTCTGTTTTAAAGGGAATTAAAGATTTGTCTAATTTAAAAAATTTAGGAAGTTAGTTAGGTTGTGAATCTTCTTCCATTTTAGTTAGTTGCCCTTAGAGAAGTCCTGGGAGAAATTGTGAAAGAATCAAATGCAGGCATAAAACTGTTTTTATGTAAAGTTTGAAACCATTATATTGCAGCTGCTACACATATTATTTTTAAAAAAACATGCTTGGTAAAAGAATTCCAAGTGAATTCCAGAGACAAAGAAGTTTCAAGCAAAGATTTAGTTATGGATGCTTAATTAATACCTTTTAATGTGCTTGAAGGTATTTTATTTGATGAGTAAAAATTCAATTCGAAAAAATGACCTTAGTGAAAATATAAAGATCGATACATATTGACATCATTACATTTCCGAGTAAAGCACTTCTGAGGATTACACATTTTCAAATGTTGGCAAAGTTGTATAAGCAGCTCTGACTTTGTCACATGGCAATATAGAGCAGTGATTTTCCGTTTCAAAGAAAGCTTTAAGTGAAGGAAAAATTGCCATGACAGAAAAAATAATTGAATACAGTTTTGACTATAAAAGATACTTTAAAAGAGTACTTTAATACTCATTTTGTACCTATAACTGACAAATTCATTGAATATGGATTACAAGCTCATCAAAAATATGCAACCTACATGGAAAAATGAAAAAGTAAAATACTGAAAGTAATTTTAACAAATATCTGATCTCAACTATAAATGTGTCAAGTACTTCTATTCTTTAAAATGTGGAAAGATAATGCCTTTTTTTTTAGAGATGAAGAATTTATTAATTAAATTCATTTTATTTTAACAACATAATAATATCATAATGACTGCATATTTTTAATTGTATTATTTTTAGAACCATTTAAATCTTCTGCGACTGAATCTGCATTTTCACCTGCTGCTCAAGAACCCATTGACATTGATGTACCGCAGTCATCTGAAATAATCGAAGCCGCTTCGGTACCGGATGTCGCCATTGTTACCCCTTCTCCAGCTGTCCCTCTTGTTGATGAGGGAGTTCAGATGGAAATGGACGAACCTGTTCCATCTTCTTCTCCAGCCTTGCCGAGTCCAGTGCCTGTAGAAAAAGTTGCTCCAAGTAGAAAAGAAGTGGAGCCAGACAATATTGGAATAGTTATGCCCATGACAGAGGTTTCAGTCACTGTGAAGCAACCACAAAAAGCAATAGTTAAGCCACATGTTCTCACTCATGTAATTGAAGGTTTTGTCATTCAGGAAGGATCAGAACCATTTCCTGTAAGCTCCTAACTTATTTTTCTTATGAATTAGAAAATGATTCTCTCTCTCTCTCTCTCTCTCTCTCTATATATATATATATATATATATATATGTCACCCAACTCTTTCTCAAGAATATTTTGCAATATAAATAATCATTTTTAAAAGATTTTAAAAACAAGTGCCAACAATTTAAATAGTGTGGCGTCNTATATATATATATATATAATTATGCCTATAGGGATTTTTATCTACTTCACTCTGATTATGGAAGTACATGAAAGAAAGAGCCATTTCGGTAAAAAAATTAATTATATCCAGTTTAAATCATAACCCTAAGTTCTTATGTTGATGTAAAAAAAGTATATTTAATTAGTTAGCTATAAAACTTGGCGCCATTGTACTTAAATAGTGTAAATTATACTTTTTGTTTACCCTTTTTAACATGCTCATTGCGGTATTATGGGATATCATGTGACAAAATATTTTCTATAGTTTGTGTCAAAAAAAACAGATCAAGTTGTAGCAAGAGGCATATTATCATCCAACTGTTTAGCAGAAAGATGCCCGGCGGTTGAATGGTAACGCTAGGCTCTCTCATGCCTCAGGTCCAGAGTTCGATCCTCGGGCCGAGCAAGGTTGACTCAGCCTTTCATCCCTTCACTGAGTCGATAAAATGAGTACAAAGCATGCTATACTTAGGTACTAAGCACTGGTGGCTCCGTGTTCGGTTGACCACACAGCCGGAACATCTGCCCCTCAGAGCCCAAGGTCAAGAAAACTGAGATGGGCATAGTAGGCCTTGGCCCTCTATGGGCTGTTGCACCACTGAGTTTAGTTTATTTTAACTGAAAATGTTGTATTTCCTCATGACAATAACATATTGTTTATCACAATTAACTTCTTATAAAAATTTAAAAATTAAAATGGTTACTAAAATAAGAAAAGTTAATTTTGATATTATCCTTATAGATAAACAGTTCCATGATGAATATAGTATAGCCCTTGGCTGGTAATGAGCGTGTTAAAAGTAGTCTAGTATTTATATAGTGTACAGAAAGAGGTCTTAATTTTTTTTCTTTGGTCCACTATGAGGCTTGAATTTATTATTTATTTCGATTTTATAGCATTCTTTAAAAATAACATTATTTTTTTATTGAATATTATAAAAAATCACCGTGGGAGCAAATTTTTTTTTTGTTTTCTGTTGCATGAGATTTTTTTAACAGATCTTGGATACTTTTCTATGACTGATTTCAAATTTGCAATTAGTTTGTCTCTCCGATCTATAGTTTTTTTTTTTCTTTTCGAAATGTACAAGTTTAAAAACATTATACATAACAAAGGTTCGCGTAAATGTTGGAGTTAGGGTACATCCTCAGGATTAATATTGCATAGGTACCTATGTCCAAAAATGTCATACACCACTAGGAGTGTTTCCCTATTATGAGCTGTTTCTTCTTGAGCTACTGAACACATTATTATATAAAAGCTCTGCTAGAGGTATACTAGGGCATTTCTGAACATGGTTTCTTATGCCATTTCAATCCAGATTGTGTGTCTCTACTCTCCCAAAAAATTTTTCAGCTTTTACCCAACCCTCTATTATACATAACATTACAAAAGAGGGTTGGGTAATATGCGTAACATTTCAACAACAAAAAAGGGCTAAAAATGTAGTTAGTTTTTAAAAAAAATCTATAGTTTTAGGAGCAAAACTAATTTAAGATTTGAAATCCACACACCTGAAATAGACAAGGTTAATTAACATTTGTATAAATACAACAAAAACTTTATTCCCCAGTGTTATTTAACCTTAGTGAATTATTACATACCAGAAACTGTAATTAAATTTTTAGAATCATTTTCCAGATTATTCCACAATATTTTTCACATATATATGTATATATTTTTTCAGGTTACAATGCCCTCATATAGTATTACCGACAAAGACGACGATTCTGATAAACATGCAGAACCTTACAACAATTCAAATTCAGGTAATTGTTAGTTTAGTAACTTTTAACATTGATTCTTTTTATTTATATAAGCTTTTTTATTTAAAACATCTGCATTGTATTAATATTGTATAACTCATCTCTATATTTTTCATATTATTTACGCTTGTTTTATTCAATGCATAAGAAAATTACTACTTTTTGTTATTTTACTCATGGTTCATCTTTAAAAACACAAGCTTATTTCAGAGCTTTAGTTTCTTTTCAGTTCGTGTGCAGGTACTATTTTAAACAACTCTTATAATGCTGAAAAATATTTAAACACTTTATCTGTTATTTAATATTTTGTAAAAATGTTCTTATTTACTTTACAAATATATTAATATATTTTAACTATTTCATATGTGACTCTATTTATACATGTCTCTATCTGGATTTTCTAGTTTTACTTACCTGCTGCTTTCTAATGTTTTTTAAACCTATCATTCACTGAAAAATCATATGAGTTTTATTTAGTACTTACCCGAAATACTTAAAATGTAACCTTTCTTTTGATCATTCAATAACATTTTCAAATGTTAAATTTATTGTTAAAATGAAGGAAAAGTATTTTTTTTTTCTTCTGTTACCATTTCAGCTATATCTCTATAAAGTTTTGTAACTATTTACTTTTTAAAATAATAAAAGTTTATTCACAGTGAGGCAGAATTCTGAAAAGAAAAGACTATGATTTTGGCTTTGATAAATCTCACCCCTAGAAAATGATTTTATTTATTCTAAATAATTTTTTTTTTTTTTAAGTTTCACAGTCATTCTAAATGTTTTTACTTGTATTTCACAGATATTTCTGCTACAATAAAGAAAAAAGACAAGATCTTGAAAATTAGAGGTGGCCCAATTGAGTTAGCTAAATGTGAATTCTGTGGAAAATTAGGTCCCAAAGCCAAATTCAAACGTTCAAAACGTTTTTGTTCTACTTCATGTGCTAAACGTTTTAATGCTGGCTCTTCAAAACGGTTAGCTATAATTTTACCAGAGCAAGAATCTAAAACAGGTTTGATTTGCTTTTTATTTAAAATGTAATTGAAGTTATCTAACTTGTAACATACTTTCAATATTGACAGCATAACTAATCTTTTAGGGCATTGAATTATTTTCCTTAAAGGAATATTCCTATATTAACTTCTATTATACATAAAACTTTTGAATTAAAATGTAAGGTTGCTATTCTGCTTTTAGATTATTATGAGCATTCTTTGTGAAGTCACTTTACTTTGGCTGTATCATTAAATAAACTGTCAATTTGTTTGTTTGTTTTTTCATCACAAAAAATTATAAATATCTAAAAAATATGCTTCTTATTTAAAAACTAAAAAATATAAGTTTATTTTCTGAAAACTATTTGGTAATTCTAATATTAATTTACTTACCTGTCCTTTTTTGGAGTCAAATAAGAGCTGAAGGGAAAATAAGTTGGCATCATTGAATTGGATTTTGAAAAATATTAAATCTGTATCTTGTAGTTTATTAATTAAGTTTATTATTTTGTGAAACTTGTTCTTTCCACTTGTGTAATTACTGATTGGATAAGTAAATTAATTTGTTTGAAATAAAATTAAACAAATGTTTAATTTATATGTAAAACAAAACTAAATCAAAACTAACAATTTAGCAATAAAATTGTTTAATGAAGTTGTAAAATTAGTTTCATTGTCAAACTTACTTTATTCATAGAAATTAAGTTATTTAGTTTATTATTTAGAAATTAAATTTTTTTTTCAGGTGACGAGCTTCGGAAACATAAAAAGAAAGGCAGCAAAAAAGGTCATTATAAATTATTTTGAGTTGTATTGAAAAATTTATAATTTAAATGTCTATTTAAAATAGTTTTAATTTTCTGATTTACTGGTTCTTATATTTTTTAACTAATTTACGAGCTTTAATGTTTTAATTTTATCTGTACTATTATTTAACTATTTTGAATGATTTTTGTGTTATTTGTTTTGAATGTAAATTATACCGAGAAAAAAAAAGGAAATCAGAACGTAAATACATGAAATGGCTTTAGAAATAAAGTTTTCTTTTTTTATTTCTAAATACTTTTATATCTCCTGCAAATAAAGTGATATTAAACAGTTTCATTATTATATGATCGCTTCCCACCCATTAAATAAATATAAAGAGCATATAACTATTTATTTATGAGTGCAGAATTTTTTTTTTTTTAAATAAATCAAAATTATAAAATATATTTTGGTTTATATTAAAATTATTTGAATGATAATCTTTTTATTTGCTTGTTATGACAGTAAAAAAGTAATGTAAAACATTTCAAAAATACTAATTAAAGTTAATACTAAACTGACTTAGACATTACTTATACTACATAATAATTAGAAGATTTTATATTTTCGGTATCAAATTTACCTTTAATTACACTTTAATTTTTTAATTGGAAATTATTTAATGTTACACGTTTAAAAACTAAAAATGATAATTTTATATAATACAAAAATTAACATGTTTTAGGATTCAAAATCTCCATTTAGCACATTTTAGTATCTTTTACCAAATGATATGCAATTTTCAAAATAAAAACCACATAAATCACGTTTTCCTTTGATTTTTATGCCTCTTATTTTATGTATATTTTAATATGACAGTCTTGTTGTTTTTTCTAGTTAATTTAAATATTTTTGCCTTTTCATTTTGTTTAATATTGTTTACCTTCCCATGTTTATGTAGGGTTGTTTTTTTAGCATATTTTTGTTATCATGATAAAAATTATAGAAAACAAATATAAAATGGAAATTATGGAGAAACTAAGTTCAATTACTCATAAAGTAACTTTATTAAATCACTTTTAAAAATCAGATTATCTAAGACTTTCCAAATGCTTAACTTCTTAATTAAAATATTAATATTTACTGAAATACTCCAATATTATTCGAACATGGGGTCATTCCACAAAAATTGAAAAATAATAAACATACTGTTCAACTTATAGGAGTAGTGAATGAAATTGTAATAAACCAAATTTGTAATATGTTCTGAATAGGTTTCAAAGTTTGGTGTTAATGAATTAAATTATCAAACTTTATTAAAATAAAGTACAATGCTCTTCTATTTTAAAAATTATTTGCTGGAAATTCCTTAATGTTTTGTTATTAGAGTAAAATTCTTTTTTTTTTTAAATAATATTAGTGAAGAATTTAAGGCAGAATAAGCTTTCTACAAAATATCTTAATAAATAAGTTTTATAATTTAATGATGTAAGAGATGTAATAAATTTATAATTTTTTTCACAGGTGGTAAATCAAAAAAGAAGAAACTGGGCTTAAAATCAAAAAAGAGTTGGAAAAGGTCTGAGTCTGTTATGTATGAAGAAAAAGAATGGGTAAGAAATAATTTTAAAAAAAAGAAAAGGACATTTTTATATTTTAAGCCAGCCTAATTGTTTAAGTATTTGTCTTTATCAATTCCTTTAGAACACTTCTTTTAGATGAAAAAAAAATTGTTCGCACATAATTTGTTTCTTCCATTTGCATCATCTTGTTTTAAACTTCTCCTCATAAATGCTATTCTTATAATGTTAATAATACCCATTTTGACTGTCTTTAAAATGTAGTTTCCTGCATCTAGCATTCAGAAGTTCAACGGACATTTCAAAAAATATGCAAGTTATTTCATTTTGAGAAGAAAAACAGAAGTTCTAAGGATACTAATGATGAAGGGCAAAATGAGGATTTGTTAGAAATTGGGGAAATTATCTCAAGCAGTATGTTTGATGTTTATGCATCAATTGATGAAAATATTGAGACTCGTGGAGCTGTCAGTTTAAGAAATAGTTGCAGAGTTAAAAAAATACAAAGTAATGCCGATTCTGTAACAAATGTTCATATTTATTGTATTCAATGAGTAGAAAGTGTGTTTAAAATTTCAAATTTTTTTAATTAAATTTTTTTATTAAAACTATTTGAAATTATAAATGTATTAATCTTCTAGTCTTCTTTATTAGTTTTCGTACATTTTTAAGTCATAATTTAATATTTTATAATTATCCACAATCATAATTTTTCCTTATCTTTTTTTTCTCAATAGATAGCTTGATTGATTTAATTTGCTCCAATTTAAGCTATTATTTTAATACTTATTACTAAACAATTTTATTGGTTACTTTTAGTTTCTTTCATTTCTGCCAATTTCTTCCATTTTGTCCGGTTTCTTCTGGTCCTTTTATTTTCAATTTTCTCCAGTGCCCTAAAGAAATAAATTTCTTCCAGATGAAATGCCAACCCTCTTAAGTTATCACCCACCTTATTTAAATAACTACTTTCAAGAACTCTCTTAGGATTTCTATAAGACAAAAATTGTACTGGAAAATGAGTTTTTTTTAATTTTTGCTATTATAAAATTTAATTTAATTTTCTTAAAGTAATATATTTGGGTTGTACAGAGAGTATTTTCGTTTTTCTCAAACAAGGGACTTAATTATATTTTTTAACAGCTAACTTCACTCCTAAACTGCATAATCATATATTTTGCAGGTCTTACTTGAAAAAAAGTTTGATTGATTCTATACTGTACTTTTTGGTTGGTGCCCTTTCAAAAATAGAAGATAAAAACCAGCATTTAGAGCATAACTTACTTTTTTACTATACGAGAGCTAAAAATGCTGTTCAAGCAAGAAAGAATTATCCAATGTATATGGAAAAGATGTATTGACAGTATGTCAATGCCAAAACTGGTTTGCAAAATTTTGATTAAAATGCAGGAAGATGCACTATGCCAGTTTAAGCTGATGAAAACACAATAAAAGCATTAATTTTTTAAAACCAGTAAATAACAATTTGTGAGATCTCTGAAAGATGAAATTTTTTAAATTTTACTGCTCGTGATCATTTGTAAAGCTTTGAGTTTAATCTCAAATCTGGACATATGGATTCCTCATGCTCAGATATAAAAAGTCATCGCATCAACTTCTCTAATATGCTTCTCAAACGTCAAAAAAATTGTTCATTTTTGATGCACATCATCACTGGGGGCAAGAAATAGGTTCTCTATAACAATGTTCTACACTCTACAACATTTTTTAGTCGGTGAAACCTTTGCAAAAGTCAAAAATCACCTGGATCATTTTTTTATCAACAATGAAAAAAAAGTTTATGCATGTGAAGTCATGACACTGCCATAAAGATGGCAAAAGATAGTGAACTGGGAATGGACAATGTATGATGGAATAAATATTTATTCTGTCTAAGAAAATCTCCTCTCAGTTTCATTAAAAAAATATTACTTTCCCAACAACCCAATAAGTGATTTCAAAATGAGTTAGTATAACAGTTATTGATTCCTGGTGTATAATATCTATTATTTTCTTGACCCTCTCTAACTTTTTGGTTTAGACTATTGCCGTGGATCGTGAAATGCCCGAAGAAACAGAAGAAGAGAAAGCAGAAGTTACTTTGGAGCAGAATGAAGAAGAGCAACAAATGGAAATAGAAGGTGATTCAAATGAAGCTGTTATACCAGAAGAAGAAGAAAGCCGTCCCCCTTCACCGACTTTTGAAGTGGAAGAGGGAGAACAAACTTCTAATTCTCAAGGAGAATTTGCCACCAAATCTCCTTTAAAATGGACTGTGAGTATTGTCACTGTTTTCTATATCTGATATTTTATCTAGTATTTTAAAATTGCTTCTTTTTAAGATTCTGTCTCTGTTTCAATATCACAATAGTGATATTGAAGATGGGATTATGTAGTTCAATGAACAAATTCGATAATGTTGTGAATTTTATCAAGAATTAAAGACGATAATATGGTGATCATTATTAAGAGGTTTTATTGGATATCTAATCAAATACAATACTATTGTGTATACAGTAATATATGTATTTAACAAGAAGGCTTGTGAAATGTGCTAATGCTTGTTAAATCCTTTTGCTTGTTAAATTTTTTCTAAAATTATTAAATACAATGATAATGAGATCATTATCAAAAGGAGCAGTTAGATCCTGTTGCTCACTAAATTCAAGTTAGTATGCTAAAAATTTAAACACAGAAAGCAGTTTGCAGGAAATGCTTCAGGATAATTTTTTTTGAGAAGTGAAAATATATTTATCTAATGTTGATTGTTTAGTTTTTATAAAGTTTATCATTTGATTTTTTTTCTCATGAGTCACTCAATGTTTTAAAGGTTTCATCTTGCATTTTCTATAGTTTCTAAAATGTGTTCAAGATGTTGTTATAACTGTAGTACATCTCAATCCATGTTTTAAGTAAAATTTAGTTACTTAAAGTCTGTGTATGTAAGTGGTTGCTGAATGCAGAGAGACTTTAAGTACTTTAAACAATTAATCAAGCATTGTGTATTTTTTGTTTTTAATTATGTCTGATATTATTTAATTTTTCTAAATTTATTTCCCTTGTTAAATAAGAGAAAAACTGAAATAAATTGCTTACTGAAAATACACTCTAATACATTTTTAATATTGTATTATTACTTGTGTAATATTGTACAAAATGCTCGATTTTCCTCATTAAATGCTTCATTGTTCTAACTGCGTCTTACTGTAAAAATAAAGTTTATTAGTTCAACTGGAATATATTGAGAAATATGGATATTTTAAATTATCAATATATATCAAAATATTAACACTTTATTGGCCAGCAATTTTACACAGAAACTATGTTATGTCACCGGCTATTTTTTTTAAAAATTGAATATGGTATTAAAGTAAAATATTCTAAATAATGATCTTAACCCCAAACGCTGTCGACCAATGAGGAGTTCATTCGACATTGAAAGTGCAATAATAGTTAACTCATCCTGGGTCAACAGTGTTTGGGCATTAAAAGATGAGTTGACTTGTTACCTGTGAACAATATGTTAAAATTCCTGTATCACCCAGCTCTTCTCTTTAAACTATTTTATTATAATTAATCGGTTAAAAAAGCATAAGTAAGAAGAAGAAGAAAATTAATAATTGCTTTTATTTTGCATTATCTCATTTAAAAAAAAATTTTAAATAAATTTCTGTAGATTTCTTTCATTAGCTTTGCTTTATTTTTTCTTGCATTCAAGTTATTTGTTAACTTTTATAAAATTTGAAAAACAAGAGTAATCTTCATTTTATGCCTTTTTTATTTTATCATATTTAATTACAATCATTCTTTTTCTTGTTATTTGCTTTTATTGTATCATCTTTTTTTATTACCTATTATTCATTTCTAAGAATCTTCATATGTTTTTTTTTCTTTCTGTTTGAGTTACAAACAGCATTTGGTAACAAACAGCATTTCAACGCGGAGAGAGCGATTTACTGCCCATTTCTTAAAATTCTACTGGAATGCAAATTCTACTGGAATTCCTACAAAGCAAAAAAAAAAGCTGCCACTGTGTGACTAGTTTTACTTAAAACATTTCTCTAACACCTCTCTCTCTCTCTTTCTGTCAGTGTCCTGTGATTATCTCTGCTAGTGATAGTTGGAAATATTTATTTTCAGGATTTGGTGAAACTAGTTAATAACAGTGTGTTTGAGCTAATAGTTTCTTGATAATTTTATTTATCATAGAGTAAAAACTTGCTATAGTTTTCTAACTCTAAACTCTCTCTTTTTTTTTAATTTTAAATATTAAGCTACGCTTGATAAGTACTTTAAGTGTTGTATAATTTGCAACCAAAAATAATTTATTATCTAACATCAAATTATCTTTTATTTTTAAATTTTATAATTTCCTTTAAAAAGATTGCCTTTTAAAAGATTTTACTAAAAAAAAATTTTTTTAACTACAGTAATAAAGATTTACTTTTGAAATGTTTAAAATAATTAACTAATAACTGAACTTTTTTTATGCATTTGAGCCGAATATTAAACATATTTCATCTAGAAAAGTTAACACTTAGTAAATATTTTTTGAAGCATCAGACTGTTTTAAAATAGTAAGTAATAGGTAACACTAATTTAAACCTTGCCAGATATATAATGAAAATAATAATATTGCACTTCTAATAAATGAATAATATTTTTAATGTTAAAGGTTACTGATGTTGTGGATTTTGTTCGAGATTTACCCGGTTGTTCAGATTATGCTGATGAATTCAGAGCACAAGAAATTGATGGTCAAGCTCTTCTCTTACTGAAAGAAGATCATTTGATGAGTTTAATGAGTATGAAGCTTGGACCTGCTTTAAAAGTATGTGCCCGTATTAGTTCCATACGAGATGAAGTTAGTCATTAAAAAGTGAACTAAGCACACCATTTTATTAAGATTTCATTTGTGGGTTGCAATTGATTTTATAAACAACTATGCGGAATTTGAGTATCAAAAGTGCAATGGAACCTAAATCCGAGTGCCATTAAATTTGTACGTTAACACTTAAAAGCAAATTATGCGTGTTTTTTGTAGTGGAAAGAAAGTGGGAAATATTTCTAAGGTAACATTTCTTTGGCTAATTTGCTTATTGATTGAAATGTAATTTTTAATGGAAATATTTCCCTTATGCGACAGTAATAAAAAAGGTGCTTTCATCTAAGTATTAACTATTACTTCAAGTCTTTTGATGTGCAATTACAACCATATATATATATATTGAAGTGACTTTGTTTATAGGTCACACTCCATTATTTATGTTTCAGTGGATGTTTATGATTTGTATTGTTAGGGAGAGACATTTGATATTTTTCCCGTATTAACTTTTACCACTTGCAAAAAATATGTTCTTATTTCAATTCTTAACCACTTCATGCAATATGATTCTATCTTTAGCATTAGATGTGTGTAAATGGTTGCTCGTTTTGCCACTGAACTACGCATCTTGAATTTTTATGTTAATTTTATTTTACTGCTATTATTTAGTGATAAGAACTTATGCTATTACACACTTATAATTTTTACATTCCAAAAGCAAAATTTTTCTAGATATGAATGCAGCTAAACCTTTTTATATCGAACCTCGATTTACAAATTCAGGCAAAAAAGCAAGAGGACTTGGTAAAAAAGAAATTGCAAATAAGTTTCAAATTTCAAGCAGCAAATTATTAACGATTCCAAAACATGAAGTAATATACAATCATTTTTGCTGTGGTTACTTTGAGGAAATATGTAAAAAGCCAGACATTGGTTTTTAGAAAACAAAGATGAAATCTTCATTTAAATTATAATTTCTTGTACAAATTGTTTAGTGTAATATAAAATGAATTTCTTTTTAAAATGTATGTAAAAAAAAAGATATATTTTCTTTATTCTACTACTGATTTTTAACGATTCTCGAATCTGGACATTAAGAAATTTTTCTTTTCTCCCTTCAAGTTTGATATATCGAGGTTTGATTGTGCTTGTGTATATGTATTTGTTTTTACAATATCTTTAACAAAATAGCAGTTTTTCAACTTATAAATTGTTTCAGTGCTATTTGCTTAAATAGCATATATAAAAATTTAGAAAAATCTTCTTTTTTTTTATTTAATAACATTATTTTGACTTCCAAATGAGTGATATAAAATCCTTTATTCAAACGCGTGGGGCATTAAATTTATAACAATCAAAATACTATCATCAAGGAATAAAAACTTGGTTACCTTTCAAGTGGTTAATTATAAAACTATGATGAGATTTGATAGTGAACTAATTTTTTTTGTTGAAATTTTCATTCATTGAGTGTTTTTCTTATCATTTTTTTTTAAAGTTAGAAGAAATATTTTAAATTGAAGGGTATTTAGTTAGCTTGTAAAGGTATTGCAAAAGTTGGGAATAATAAAGTTATTTCTTCTTTGTTTATTTAAATTAACCATTTTTTATACAAAATTTATAAAAACTCACTTAAAAATTATTTTCTAATTTGTTTACATATTTCTCTAAATTTATTGTTTTAAAATGTTTTTCATGAAATAGTTACAAAAAATGTGAAAAATGAAAATGAGCGTGTTTTATCAATAGTATAATGAATATTTTTATATCATATTTGTATTTTTTAACCTAAAATTTGTATCTAAATTATAATTTTCTTTTAAAACTTGACCTAATTAGCATTCTCTACTTAAGTCATATATATGTACTTTTTAATGAAAAATATATCATGTTAAATCTGCAACTTAATGAAACATATGGTGTTTATTTACAAAAGTTTAAATTATTTCGAAATATGTTCTATGTATCTTATACTGTAAACTTATTTCATTGTATTCTAGTCAACTAGTCTATGATTAGTAATGACTACATGACGCAGACAAAACAATGTCATTTCTTTTTTTTTTTGTTGAGAGAATTAGAGTATATTATTTGTTCTCTATTTATGTCATAAAATTTTTCATACCAATCAAAATATTTTTATATGATTATGTTCTTTTTTTTTTAGTTTTACATATAAAATACATACTTATAAAAATTTGCTGTTTTTGTTAAGCTATATTTGAAAAAAAGAAGTTTGTTGCTTGGGGCGCGTTATGTGTAATATTTTTGTTCAGTATTTGTTTTGTCTAAAAGTTCATATGTGTTAATGAATGTTAGAGAATTTTTAATATCTGTTAAATTTTCAATTTAGGTTATAGTTACTTTATAAATGTTGGTTTATATCACTTTTTTCTCATTGGAGACTGCTTGTTTGTTCATTTTTAATATTGGTGATTGGTGTGCAATATTTAGTTAAGTTATCAACTTCACTAAAAACCACACATCGCACTAGTTATCTCACATTTGTTTCACTAATGTCATGTAGTGAATAGTGATATAGTATTGCAATTTCACTTTCTTTTTCCTTTTATAGCCTATATATATCAAATATCATGTTAAGATATTTGTTTACCAAAAAGTGTGTTTCTGAGAGAATCAAACTCCTTTGAAAGATATTTTGCTGATTTTGAAAGATATTTTTTTGATGAGTTTAAAATTAAGAGGCCTCTTACCTCCCCTCCTTGGGTTTTAGGTTTATTTATTTATTTTTATTTCTGTGTTTTTCATGTTTTTAACAAACTTTTGATAATTAATATTATTTAACAGCTCTATTTATATCTTATAAAAAGGGTTAAAAACAATGTTCACGCTATATTAGATAAGGAGAAAAAGCACTTGATAATATTTAAAACTCTAATGGATATTTTTCCAAAAACATAAAGGAATAAAATTGTGCTGTTACTTTTCTTTTAAAGTAATATATTTGCCTGCTTTTATTATTATTTAAACAGAGGAAAATTGATTCGAAAGATGCTGAAAAAATTCTTTTATTGTAAATTTGCAAAAACAAAGGTATTATCACAAATCTAAGAGCAGAAAATTGTGTGATACTCTACCTTTTCTATGGTCACAGTATTGTATTAATCTAATTTTGTCAGAAATATTTATGTAAAATTCAAGAACAAAGTCAGCTACATTTATTACATTAAAAGATGATCTTGTATTTTACAAGTCTCAAAAAATATCGTCAAACAGAGTAAATATCCAGCATCAGTTTATTTGTGACAACCAAATAAAGATGATTAAAACACATTCGGAATTTTCCCCTCACAGTTTATATCCCTCTGACCTTTGAGTTTGAGCAGAAGGAAAGAGGCCTTTTAAGTTATTAAATTATCTTCCTTAATGATATTTCAGTATTGAGAAATAATTATTAAATTACTTTATACTTAATCATTGTACATATATTACCTTTTATCCCATAACAATTGTGAATACGTATAATGAGCTACAGTAATATGTATTCAATTATGGTTGTAGTACATCTAAATATCTGCTTTGTTGTAGTGTTGTCACGTGAGCTATCTTGTAATTCGCAAGCTGTCTGTTATCAATATTTGACTATTTTAAAGTTTACTTTATTTTTTGTTTGATACATTTAAGTTAAAGTTAGTTGTTTTCCATTCTTTTAAATTATAGGCGTACGAGTCTTTCTGAATTTTTTATATTATATACATTTGGGATTTTTATTTATTTCTAAAAATCTGAGAAATTATATTAAGCATTTATGTACATATCTTGTTAAATTACTATTTTATTTGTTATTTTATTTATTAATATTTTTGAGCATTTAAAAAAAAAAGTTTTGAATTTGTTACATTAAAATTTCTGTTGATGCTATGAAATTCTTTCAAGCTGTTACGTAAGCATTTGTATCATTAATTAAATATTATTACGAATAAAATATACAATTATTTATACCACTGATGTTATGGTTCGGTGTTAACATTCAACAGAAAGGAACTTTTTACAAGTGCTTAATCGTTTTTAGATTATTTAATGTAAAAGTTTTATAATATTTTATGCATAGTATTCTTCTTGCGATTTTAAATTAATTTTTTTACAAAATGAAAATTAAAAGATTTTACTTTTGTTGCACTTTATGTTTTTCTACTTAAAAAATGATTTCAGTTACATAGATGGAATTTTTTCTCTTCATAAAGACTATACTTATTGGAATTTTAATTACTTATTTTATCACTGCCAATGTATTCTTATTTGAAGAATTTAGTATTTTGAAAAAAATTACATCTGTAAAAACGTTTTCTTTTTATAGATGTTGTGTGTGTAATAAATAATCTAGTCAAAATTCACTGTTTACTATTTTATTTTTAATTATACACATTTCTTATACAATACTTCAGATCAAGATGAAACACCTAAGATTCAGCAGACTGTATAATCGATAGGGATAGTTACAAACTAAAGAAATTTGAAGATGAAATAATGAACTCTGTACAGAACAAAGAAAAAAGAACACCTTATTAACTTTTGAGCTAATGATCATATTTTCCTGCACTAAATGCAGCCGAATTTAAAATATGCTAATTAATTTGTGCAGATGATATTTTAAGTGACAAAATCAAATAGAAAAGTACACTTTTTCTGAATAAATATACTTTTTTTCTGACAAATTTGGATTCCTGACCTTCAAAGAATGAAGAAGGGAAAACGAATATCTCTGTAAAATAAGATCCTGATAGTATACTTAAAAGGGAGCACCAAAGTTTTCGATCCCTTATTGTACATTTTTTTTTTTTTGAATTTAGCCTTATTTTTGTAACTATATTTATATATTTACTTACAATTGTAAAATTTGTTTAGTGAAAGAAAATTGTCCCTTAGTGGACTGATTATAAGATTAATCCAAGGCGATCATCAAAGTCACTAGCAGCGGTCAGTGAGCGGGTGGGTGACCACTTTGATATGATTATGAAAAGAGCGAAGATGTGAGGTATCGGCCCTCCTTAAAACTCTTCTACCGTAAATTGCTGCATTTCATGCACAGGTGATGAGCTATCAAAGTAGGTGAGCCATCCCCTCCGCAGAGGAACCAAATTGTGATTGTGTGTCTTTGGATCATCTTCAAGGATGGTCTAATTGACCATTGTAATAAAGAATATTGACTTCGAATTTTCTCATTTTAACGCTTTCAACACACTATTATATATATACATACATAGTAACCTATTCGATCACATTGTGGAACCCCTATTAGGCCTATAATTATTTCCTCTGGTAGGGTACACTATTACCTGGTAATATAACACCTGGCCCAATATGAAAATTAAGGGGAAATATAGGACCATTTGTAATACAGAATATTAATTTCGAATTTCCTCATTTTAGCGCTTTCAGCACACTATTATATATATACATAGTAAACTATAGGGTCGCATTGTGGACCCCCTATTAGGCCTATAATTATTTCCTCTGGTTGGGTACACTATTACCTGGTAATATAACACCTGGCCCAACATGAAAATTATGGGGAAATATAAGGCCATGTTGTAATACAGAATATTAATTTCGAATTTCCTCATTTTAACGCTTTCAACATACTATTATTTATATACATGCATAGTAACCTATAGGGTCGCATTGTGAGCCCCCTATTAGACCTATAATTATTACCTCTTGTAGGGTACACAGCACCCTGCTGCTCCAGTGCAACATAAATAAATTATACTACCTTACAACAATGGAAGATACTCTCAGTTTTTGATATTATTTTGAATTTCTCAACAAGTACTTAAGAGGACTATTTTGTAACTTTAGAAGCATTCAGTTCATGCGGATTCTTCATACTTTGCAATTAAGTTCAGAGATTTGAGAGACAGACAATAAATTACGAAAGATAGCAAGTATTTTTGAGAAACCTATACCAAAAAATCAATCAAATAAGATTGTAACTTTTATCAATTAACTTGGTTGTTATTTGCATAAAAATTTCGTAAATAGCTTATATATTTATGGAATTATGAACATTTTTATAAAAAAAACTAATTTTTTTGCCTTTTTTTTTAGCTATAACTTTAAAAATATTCAGTAAAATTATACAACAGTTTTGAAGCAATTTGAAATTAATTACAAAATAATTATTTTAAAATTTGAAGTAAATTTGTTAAAAAATGTGAGTATTTAAAATAGTTTTTTTGAACTGCATGTGCTCGGAATTTTTTTAAAACTTTTTTTTAATAATTTTAGTAGTGAAACTAATAAAAATAACTTTGGTAGTATTTAGTAACTAATGGAAAAATCTGATTTAAATTCCTTAAAAACGTAAAAAGTATGGAGCAATTTTTAATATCAGGTAATCTCAAAATAATCAGGAGTTTTCCAAATTTTATTATGTAGTATTGCAAATTACACTGCCTCATAATTATCAAACAGCAAGAACATAAACTACTTAAAAAATTGCTTGAAACTTTTTACGTGTTTAAGTTATTTGAATCAAATTTTTTCCATTAATTGCTAAATACGATTAACTATAAATAATTTGAATTTTTTTTCCGCGCAAGCACAGTACAAAAGAACAACTTTAAATGCTCATATCTTGCGCGTTTTTTAACAAATATTTGCCTAATTTTAAAATAATAATTTTGTAATTAATTTTGAATTGCACCAAAAATTTAGTTTAATTTTACTGAATGGTTTTTAGAGCAAAAAGCATAAGACAAAAAAATTAGTTTCGAAGTAATTGATACAAGTTACCAGCTTATTGCTTGATTTTCTGGCATAGGGAATTCGAGCATACTTGTTTTCTTTCATAATTTATTGCCAGTCCCTCAAACCTTTGACAGCCTTAAACTTTACTAAGTAGAAGAAATCGCAAGAACTTAACATTTCTAAAATTACAAAAAAGTCTAAGTATTTATTGAGAAATTCAAAAAAATATTAAAACTGAAATTGTCTCTTCCATCATTGTAGGGTAGTGTATGTAACTACTGAAGGATAATTACTTTAAAAGTGTAAACCTTTAAAGTAATTTATTATTATTTAACTAAATAATGCTTTAAGGTTGACATAATTTAAAACTATGAAATATTAAATGGCAAACTTTTGTAAATTTTATTCAAATTTTGTATTTTGCCATTTAAAGTTACAGAGTTTGATATAAAGTTAAAAATTCGTCTACATGACAATTTGAAATTTTTTCAAGTACTATTTAATTTAATAATAAATAATATTAACAAAATCATACTTTTATATGAAATTATCTTTAGGCAAGCCAATGTTACAAGGAGTAAGTAGTTTTTGATGTGCTCAAATTGCTTTAGAGATATATTTAAATAAGTAGGAAATTAAATTAACATTAAGGTGACCAAACTTTCCACCCCTTGCTTGACTAAACTATTGGGAACATATTTTCATAATAGCGGTTTTCTCTAATCCTTAAATGGCCAAGAATTTAAATAAATCTGAAACAGGTAAGTTGTTTTACAGGAAGCTTAACTTGAAAATAGTGTCTGAGCAAATTAATTAGTCTTTTTAAAATTAGCTTATGGAATTATTAAAACTGCATTATGAAACTAAGCTATAGATATTCCGTGAGTCATGTGGCCATTCTTTACATTAGGGTACAATTTTTTTGTTTCCGTTTGTACAAATATATGATATCACCTAATTCGAGTGTGGGGGTTTCAACTTTGTACTATAGATTTGCACTACAGATTTTTTAATAACGTTTAACGTTTTTGGTCTATTTTTTTTTTCGAACTGTACAAGTCTAAAAGCATTTTATGTAACAGAGAGTTGTGCAAATATGAGAAAATTTTAGTAGAGTTAAGACACATTGTCAGGGTTAAAATTGCATAGGAAACCATGCTTGAAAATGTCGTCATACGCAGCTTGAGGAGCCCCCCCCCTGTTAAGAAGCACACGAAGAAACAGCTCATAATATAGAAGTGCACCTATCGGTGTGTGACGACATTTACAGGCAATAGTTACTACGCAATTTTAATTTTGTTGATGCGCCCTAACTCACCAAGAAGTTAGCTGCAACATTTATGCAACCCCCTGTTATAACGTTTATAAACTCGTACAGTTCGGCAAAAAATAGACTATAATGCTATTCAAAAAAATGTAGCTTTTGAGGGAGAAACCGATTGAAGATTGCAACGATACGAAAATGTCTAAAATCTGTATTAAAAAAAAATCTCATGTAACAGAATAAAAAGAAATCCTCAGTGTTATTATAGTTAAGAAAAAACGGACTTCGTTTTTAATAACATTTATTGATACCATGATAAAGAAAAAGTCTTTCTGATCATAAATATACTATAATGATTTTCCGAAAAATTAGTTTTTATTCTAAATATATAATGCATTTCTTTTCTTTTTACCATCAAAATATAGAGTACAGTATTCAAGACACGTATCTACTAAACTTAGAATATTACATAATTAAGTCACTGCAAATAACTTATGATCTAATGTTCAGAATTTTAGATTAATCATTCTATTATAAGGATTCAAAAGAAACTCCTAAGACATATAAATTAATAGTTTATAACTACAATGCGTGAATTTTTCTTTTAAATTGAAGGATTTCTTGAATTATATTTTAAATACTATGTACTAGTTATACTTACTATACTATGTACTAGTATTTGAGAACAGCCTTGAGAAAAATTTTCGTAGCTATAAATGTGGATGGTTTATGAAGACATGACATAATTTTGAACAATATAGGCTATTCAAGGAATCTGATATCAACAAATACATCAAAATAAGTCGATTAAACCTTGCGGGTCACATTTGTCGAATGGACCCTTCTTCCTCGACATTTAAGATCTTCAATTACAAACCAATGGGAATTAGAGTTAGGCCTAAGGTCAGATGGCTTGACTGTGTGGAAGAGGATTTTAAAATCCTAAGAATTATCAACTTGAGAACAATCGCAAAGAAAAGAGCAGAATAGAGCTTCTAGGAAAGGCTCTGACCCACAAAGGGTTGTCATGCCAATAGAATTAGGAGAAGAGTTTGAAATACTTTCGAATTTTCTGACTTCTCCCCCACAAAAATTGCATCCGAAATTTGAAATTCAACTGGAAAAAAAGCTAATAAGGTGTAAAAGAAAACGAATAAAAAGAGTCATCACTACGCATGTGCTTAGCTTTATGGAGATGCGTTACAAAATTACATAGAAAAAAAGTATTCTCTTAATAATAGAATTATTAGCCTCTTTTCTCAGCTTTATGTCTATAATACTTAAGAGGATGTATTATAAAACGCTATGAAGAAATTCTTAAACTACATTTAAAAACAATGTTGTTGTTGCCTTATACCATACGCCGTTGTCTTATGATAC